ACACATACATAAACGAGTATTTCATCACGTACTCTCCTCAACTATAACCTTACCTGAGGCAAAACAAGAGACAGTCCCTCACGGAAACAAAATACTATTAGCATGTAAACAAAGACGTATGCAAGAGCTTCACTTCCAAACAACTGAATTACAAGGACTGAGAGAGGCTTATGTACACAAGGTGACCTTACAAAACAGGAGGTCAGGTCAAAAACATGACTTCCACTAATCCACACACTACCACAAACACAAGAGGAGCTTATAAGAAAGGGCAACGTAAATAGTCATGTTAAGCCAGGTAAAAAATATACGAGACCCACTAATCATTTATCCTAGTTGTACCTCAAATACGTTCAAAGCATTTTTAACCTTGGACCAATGACAAATAAACTTGTGTAACATATTATCAGTTTTGTACTGACCCTGTACATAAGCCTGTCTACCTCCGTCTTTCATTCCTTTGATCTGTCTTCTCAGAGTATCTCTCCTGTCTGAGATTTTGTACCGCCGTAGGTTGTCACACCGTCCATGTTAATACTTTATATTAGTGAAATTATACGTAGTACGTTAGCGTTAGGTATACAACACGAGAGGTTATACGTTATACTCGTGGAATTGTGTTAATGTTGGAATAACACATATGACTATGCGCTGTATCCGTGAAAACAGATCCATGTTAGCACAACACAAATGACTGTACTTTATACCCGCGAACATATATCTATGCTGGCACAACACAAATGACTATACAAGTGAAAGTGTATTAATGCCAGCAAACCATTATGGCCTGTTTGTAAATGGGATGGCTCGCAACTCTGTTATAAACTTATAATTCATGTAATTTTTTAACAAGGTTTGGAATACAGGTTACAATGGCGCTTTTCTGTATAGTGAACTTAGTTACCGCTTTCAATGTATTGCGTTTTCTGTCATTATCGATGTTACTTCATTTGTACACCTGACTTTAATTTTTTCCCATATTACACGTGAAATGAAAGTCGGGTATCCACCAATATAAATTCAAATTATTGTGTTTTAAAGCAATATCTGACCTTGTTGCGATATTTATTTGGTAATAGATTTATTATGAACATACATTTTAACAAATTACTACACTAATATCATCGTGTGAACAATAAGACATTTGGCAGACGTGATCTAACACACTCTGCCTCATGATATCGTCTATAACTTGATCATACACAGTAGTACAGTATATGGGAGAACCAATATGACGCGCCTTATTGACGCCCTTAATTCTTTAAACTAATGGTGCAGGGTGAGCTGAGGCGTGTTGCCAATGGTATTGTTACTGATGATATGCTGCTGTTACTGATGGTACTGTTGCTGTTATTTTCGATATTGTTACTAATGTTATTGTAACTGTTATTATTGGTACTGTTACTGTTACTGATGGTACTGTTACTGTTACTGAGTGTACTGTTACTGCTACTGAGTGTACTGTTACTGCTCCTGAGGGTACTGTTACTGCTACTGATGGTACTTTTGTTACTGATAGTACTGTTAGCTACTGATAGAACTGCTACTCTTACTAGTGGTATTGATACTGCTACTGCTGGTACTGTTATTGATGTTTTTGTTACTGATGGTTACTGTTACTGTTGGTTCTGTTACTGTTGGTACTGTTACAGATTCTGAGGAACTGTTACTGATATTGATGGTACTGTTACTGTTACTGATGGTACTGTTACTGATGTTATTGGCACTGTTACTATTAGTACTGTTACTGATGATATCAAGGTTACTGCTGGTACTGTTATTGATGTTATTGTTACTGTTACTGATGGCACTGTTACTGTTACTGATAGTTCTGTTCATCAAGGTATTTGCTTATTAATTACTGATGCCATTAAACTGGAAGAAAAAGAATTGAATAACAATATACTTGATGTAATGACGTTTTTCACATTACATTTATACTGACTGACTGACTGTGGCTGTAAGGTTGACTGTAAAACTGACATCTGACTGTAAGGCACACATTAAACGCGCGACTGACTAATTAACAGGTTTTTTTTAACTGGTTAGCGGCGACCAGACCTTGTTGATGACCAGGTCTTAATCACCCTTGTTTATTCATTTGCATTTGTTTTTTATGCGAACAATTAATCCGTTGCCAATATAAAGTGAGTAGTGACCAGGTTATTCAGGCTGGGAAAATGTTACAACCGAAATATAGAGAAACCAACGAAATCATTTGAATTTAACGTTCATTTTGTCCTGATAACACCGTTGTACTCAATTAATAATGCATTACTTTACAAAACCGCTCATACAAATCACTCTTTGTTGAATTATGAATGAATGTATAAATTGAAGCTATTGTATTGTTTTCACGTTCTTACTGACGAACAAAATGACCGCTGCGAGCTGTGTCTACCTTTAGTGGTGTTTACAGAGGGGAAATAGTGTACAACAAGCATGTAGACAATGTATAATTACAAACACTAAGACAATGTGTAGTTACAAATAATAAAAACACTTACAACTAATTTAAAGGCTTACAGCGCCCTGCCAATTATTGTACGAATATAGATGAGAAAGATTAAAATATGGAGCGACTTAATTTACTAAATATAAACAAACTGAACATTTAGACATGATAACAATATGTAACCCAAGCTGAACACATGATAATATATACCACAGACTGAACATATGGCATGATAGCAATATATGACAAACTGCTGAACATATGATAACAATATATACCACAAACTGAACATTATGATAACAATATATAACACTAACTGAGCATTATGATAGCAATATATAACACTAACTGAGCATATGACATGATAACAAAATATAAGAAACTGAAAATATGTCATGATAATAATAAATAACATGAAATTCACATATGATACGATAACAATACATAACACAGTACGATAACAATAGATAACAAGATACTAATAAATGACATGATAACTATATATGACTTGATAAATATAATAACATATTAACTGTAGAGGACATAACTATAGATAACATGATAACTATAGATGAAATGATATGTGTAGATGACATAATAACTATAGATGATATGATAACTATAGATGATATGATAACTATAGATGGCATGATAACTATAGATGACATGATAACTTTAGATAAGAAGATAACTATAAATGACATGATAACTATAGAACACAGATCCAAACAAAAACAAACCATACAACCTCTTACAGGGTATGGTCGCTGCATGGAATGTTTGGACCTTTCTGGATACTGGCACAAATGGGCATCCTGAAAGAAGAACTGCCCATGTGGCAAAAGAGCTGGCTAGGTATAACATCGACATAGCAGTCATCAGTGAGTCCCGGCTCCCAGATGAGGGCCAACTCACGGAACGGGGGTCTAGCTACACCTTCTGGAAGGGTAAGCCTGCTGCGGAGAGAAACCGCATTTATGGAGTTGGCTTTGCCATCCGTCAACGCATCCTACACAGGCTAACTGAAATGCCTATTGGGATCAACGAGCGCCTCATGATGCTGCGAGTCCCACTGAATCACTCACGTCACGCCTTCTTCATCAGTGCATACGCCCCAACACTGGATGCAGAGGATGACATCAAGGAGGCCTTTTATGACGACCCCGACAGAGTGCTAACCTCTATCCCCAGAGAAGATAAGGTTGTGCTATTGGCGACTTCAATGCCTGAGTTGGCAGAGATGCTAACATTTGGCAGGGAACCATTGGGAGAAATGAACTAGGCAAGTGTAATCCCAATGGCCTACTCGTTCTCAGCAAGTATGCTGCTCACTGCCTCAGTATCACCAATACCTTGTTTAGACAGGCCGACAAGTTCAAGGGATCGTGGCAACACACACGATCCAAACACTGGCATCTCATTGACTACATTATTGTCAGAGAAAGAAATCGCCGAGAAGTCCTCATTACCCGTGCCATGCGTGGCTCAGACCACTGTGATACTGGCATCTGATTGTCTAATTCTCTAACCAGTGACGACAATAAATGATGCGAGAGTACCTGAGTACAGTCATTTTGTAATGGAAATAATGCGCGTTTTAGCCTCTGTAATTGCAAGGCCTAACTTTTGATAGTCAACACCAATGAGCGTTACAAAGTTTAAATTCCACAGACACTGCCTGTGTTACCACGGGACACAGGAGTCTCTTCCGTACATGAAAGCTGCATCAGTCTACAGTAGGTGTCGTCTTCCTTATTAAAGTAAATTATCAAAAACAGGTTACTATATTTCAAAGCATTTCACTGACATTTATAAATATGCACATCTCAATTTTTCTCTGACCTTAGTCTCACCTTTTTTAAACTGTCAGTTATTATTATTATTATTATTATTATTATTATTATTATTATTATTATTATTATTATTAATATTATTATTATTATTATTATTATTATTATTATTATTATCATTATTATTATTATCACGTTGCTCATGTCAAGGGTGGCTTAAGGAACTGAAACGTACAAGAAACAAGTAACATAGACAGGCGTGTTGTGGATGTATAGTACTGGTAACTGTGTGTCAGGTGATGTATGGTACCTGACTCGTTGACTACTGAGTCTTGGGAAAGTTTTATAGTTATGATTGGGGTCAGCCCGGGGTGTTTAGCGTAGGATGACCCAGGTGACTGAACATGGGACAAGCCCGGGAGCTGTGGTTAGTAAAACAGGTACATGGGATAAGTCACTTTAGGTTAGGTCCATGTGGTTCTGTTATAGCGTAATACGTTTTGGGGTCGTGGAGGTGTGGGCGTGGCCTACAGGGCACGTGCAGGCGTTCAAGCGTGTCAGGACACGTCCTTTATCGTGTTGGGCGGTGCCACCACGCCACAATCACACCCAACCTCACGTCGTAAGTCCATTTCTTCCACGTAACTTTGAACGAGTTTCGACGTTACGAGTTTGGCAGGGAGGGTCCCTCACTTGGCCCGGGCCGCTCATTTTTAGGGAGGGTGGCGCAGGTCCCGACAGAGGGCACCGCTGCCGTGGCTCTTCACTCCCGGCGATATTTTGGTGCCGCACCTGGTACACCGTCGCAGCTGCCGACGTCGAGCCCTCCTGTCGTCCCACACACCACTCTCAGGTGGGTGATGTGTTCGCGTCTTCTACCTCTTGGTCGGGATTAACACGCCCCAGTGATTGGTAACTGCTTACGAGTTGAGTGACTGCATCAACGAGGTCTCGATGATATGTATAGGATGGCGGTGAACAGGTTGCCGAAAATAAGTGTGGTGAGCTGGGAGTGCCTGGGCCATGGCGGTGCCAGCCGGGCCAGCATTTCACACGGCCCTCATAACCCCTCAGACTCTATCAACTTGTGTTGTGATTATAAAGAACTGCTCTGTGTATGACTGATCGTGACTAGTGCTGTGAGGAACCGTACAAGTGACCAGCGTGCAAAGAACCAGAGCGAGAATGTAGATGACCTAACGATAAACGTAAGGGCAGGCACCATTTAGTGTAGGCCTTGATGACCCCTGCGAGGAGAACCGCTCCTTCCGAGGTCGCACACGCTGCGTAGCTCTCCATTGACCTACAAGTTACTTCATCAGTTTATCATATAATTGTCACAATCACCAACTACGACACGATATGTTTTAAACATCTCTGGTCTCCACATCGACGCCATTCACCTACACGGCCAAATACCTCCTCACCTCTCCCACACTCTCCACATGCACCACATTACAGCCCACCACACTACATTCCCCCATTCCTTTTCTGAGAGGTGAAGTCCCCATCGTGTTTTCGTGGATAAAGAGAGAGGTCAACACAGTCCTCACATCAGTGCCTGGCTCCTAGCAGACGACCACTCGTCGCCTACAGAAGGAGTACACTCACCAGGGGCGCCAACACCTTGTGGCACACGAGGACGTTCACACCATCCCTCCTTCGCAGCCGGAACCCTTCACCTCCACCCCGACAGCCTCGTTAAGATAAAGCATAAATAAAAAAAATCTTCCAATATATAAATACCTTGTGGAGTACGGACGTCTTCCTGTAAGTTGACATTTAATTTAATTAATGTTGTTGTTGATAACTTATTATTCTATCTTAGCATAAATATCTTACTCTGCTCGTTTTTATTCACGAAAAAGTTCATTCTAATTAAGTGTATTACGTCACATATAAAGGAACTACTAATTCTCTCAACTTTCATAATATTATCTTAGTTATGGCACCATGCCAACCAACTGCTGGACCCCAAACATTACGAGTGTCACACCCACTCTGCCCCAACACTCCCGCCCCACCCGTGCCACCCACCTTCACGATGACACACCCACACCTCCCACACACCACCACCACCCACATGACACTCACACCTCCCACACACCACCACCACCCACGCCTCCCACTCTTCCCATACACCACCACCCACAACACACCCACACCTACCACACAGTGTGGCACACTGTGTGTGAAATGGCACAACACTTCATCTCTAATGGCAAGATAGCCGACATATTAAGATTGTATCCACTTTTTTGCACTTAGTAACTATATCAGTTCTCATGTACAGAACCAAATACGCAATGTGCTTGAATACTTCTCACGTAAATGTGAATAACAAAGTGTGAGGCCAGACATACTGCCTCACACGCCTGTACTCACGCATTTGTGAATAAGTTACCCTTTATGTATAGAACTAAACAAATAATGTAATTGAAATACTGTGTAACTCTCAGTGCCATAATATCCTGACAACCGGGGCTAATTATTATGACCCTTTGTAAACTCTATTCTGTAATCCTTTTGCGCTACCGCTCACAGGATGAGTGTGGGGTGCACAATAAAGTAGCCGCTGTAAGCGGCAAAATAAAAAAATCAAATCACACACACACACACACACACACACACACACCGCTGACTAGAGAACACACCATGACCTTGTAAATTACTCTTTTATTTTCTGTCCACAAGTTCTGGTACACGGTAACCAGAGAACGTCCATAAATTATAGTACAAAGAAGTACTTTATAAACTGAGCCAGCTTATACTTTTGTTTTGGGTAGTTTTAACATATTATCTAAACCTGGCTGAACTTTAGGGGGGGGGAGGGTCAATTCGCCGTGTTATTCCTTTTTCAATGCTGGGATTTAGCCTTGGCAGCTCTAAGCGTTGTCTTGGTGAATGTGCAAACCTAGCATGAGTCCTGAAGTTATGCTGAGGACATACACAGTTACGTTGATAACTACATAGATACAAGTACAGCACATAGAGGTGGCACTAACCGCGTCAGTATTGTCAATATAAAGTACGAAGATATATCTGTATATCTTTTATATTAAGGTCATTAACTAAAACTTGTGTCCTTGTATTTCGACGTACTCCTGTAAAGATGAATACATATACGTTTGTAAACTTAGGCTACTGTATACCCTTGAGTCTTATTCTATTATTAGGTCTCTTTGCACCCAGATGACTCCGTTATAACTACCCAGGGTAGCCCCATCTTGTAGGCAGGTAAACAAACAGGCTGTCACGTTAGACTCTTCTTTCACAGTTCTTGTAAGTTTTTACTCGCTATCATAACGTCAGTCGGAGGGTAATCCCTGTATTGATATAACTTTGTTTATGATGGGTATTAGTTTCAGTTAAAATAAACAAATTATTTATAAATTAAAACTCCAGCCGAGTAATGCTTTGTATTCGAAAAAAAAAAGACTGGTAAAACATTCAACGTTAGAAAAATGATCAATGAGCTAAAAGGCCGTTTACTGCCATCCCTCGTCACAAGGAACTCAACACCTTCACTCTCCACAGCGACGGCAAAAACCTTCAGTGAGGGAGTTTCCCCGAGAGTGGAGGCAGAAGAGAGAGTTGCAGGTGGGCTGGCACTGTGGTGGCACCGGGCCAAGAGTGCCAAGTCTTCTGTGATGATTGTGGACATGTGTCCCTACCCCCTGGGCCTGGCCCATACCCGAACCACAAGACTGTCTGCCAGACACCACCGTCACCACACACACACACACACACACCTGATGCGAGGCTAGACTTACCCACAACTCTAACATTTCATAATCTTTGTATACAGCAATGATTTGTTTTACATATTTATTATCCCTAAAAGTAGAAGCATCAGTAACAGATTTAAGCATTACTTGATCTAACAAATCCTTTTCCCAGAAATTTGGGATTTAAGAATAAGTATATTGGTTCAGTGTTGAACTGGATCATGTCTAATTTTAGGGCAGATATCACAAGCTGCTTATAGACACGAGTTTACCCCGGGCTCCTGGAGTTTACCCCGGGCTCCTTGAGTTTACCCCGGGCTCCTTGAGTTTACCCCGGGCTCCTTGAGTTTACCCCGGGCTCCTTGAGTTTACCCCGGGCTCCTTGAGTTTACCCCGGGCTCCTTGAGTTTACCCCGGGCTCCTTGAGTTTACCCATTTATCTATACATTTTCCACTTTTATACAATTATTTATGTTTCCTATATTATTCTTTATGACCAAAGCAATTTCCTTCCATATTTTAACTGCAACATCTTCATTAGGGTTCATTGTGTATCATATTTATAATAAGCTGAAGCTGATTAGGACAGTTGAGTTGTGTGAAGTCCGTACACCTGACTGTAGTTGTTACAATATATACCTCCATAATACATTGCCTGAAGCCTGATGATGGATAGTGCTGCCCGATACGCGAAGTTTAGTGTCATTTCATCGTAATATTTGGTTGGTTGCCGTGGTGAACCACAAAATGGGATAAGGCTCTCTATAATACCTAAGATCTTTGGTAGTTACATGCCAAATACTGTCAAGTGTTCAAGACTTTTGACCCCGACTGTCCATACATCACAACTTGCTACAACAATGACTGACAGACTGTTATAAATAGTGGTTCGTTATTAGTGGTAAGATAAAGTAGTGTTAACACGAATTGAAACAATCTTTGGTGACTTCTATACACTGTTGTGAAATACAGTACTTGTATTTTAAAACTAGGAATTTTAAACACCGATGAAATTTTACAATTTTTAGCAAGTCTAAGGATGTCGCAAGTTTTGTGATGCCGTTTTAAAGCGATACTATGACCACGTGAACCTGTGACGCCACTGTGCTGTTAGAGTGTGTTCATTTTAAAATCACCATTATTTTAATATCGTGCACCTACCTGCACTCTGTGACTCACACATTATTCTTAATCATATGTTCACATTCTAAACTCTGTATATCTTGCACAGGAAGAGAATGAGGTGACAATGTAGTTAATTTTAATACATTCTACATTTTGAAAGAACTTCAGGAACATTTCGGCATTCTTCAATTGCAATTTTGCAGTCCGTCGATATCTTTCATTCACAACTGACTTATAGTGGGATGGATTAATACAAAAACACGCCCAAATCGTTCAGAGCTGTGGAAGAAAGTGTGAAATTTGGCATGACGTTTCCTTTTGCCATATAGAAACATTTCCAGGGTAGGGACACATTTGGGCCTCAATCTGGCGGCCATTTTGAGCAAATTCAAAATGGCCGCCTCGATTCCCCAGCTCAAACCATAACTGCCTTATCTTAGGAACTATTGGGGCGATTTCGATGATCTTGGGCTCGTTTCTCATAGTTTTGAGGATGCCTAATTAATCTATGTTTCGGAATGTTTCAAGGTCAAGGTCACATGATAGGTTAAGATCAGGGTCATGACATAGTATAATAACTTGACGTCCGCCTATAGCACACAAGCACAAGCTCTTACGTTACGACCTTTGGAATTTGTTAAAAGATGCTCATGAGATCGTATCTGCCATGTACAATGATTTCGTCAAGATATTCTTCAATGATGCTACAATGGTAATCACTGAAACCATCCATCGTAATGGATTGTACACGTTAAAAAAGGTACCTGACAAACATAAAGTTGCAAAAGGTCAAGCTCTAAAACACAAGTCATCTATGGTCACTTAGTTGCTCCTATCTCCGCAATCACGACCAGATGCAAATATTGACGAATCCCCATCATTAGTTGGTGCTGGTTGTTGGCGAACTGGTATGAAGTCCGATCTCCTGAAATGCTTCAAAAAGTTCAATGAAAATTTTGCTGGAGATGCAACAGTGAAAATCTTCGATGGTCTTGGTGTAATCTATTCTATCCAACTCACCCAGACCACCAGCACGATCTGTGGATATATAGAGAAGCATCTACCTGTTGTGCCATTTGCAAGATCTCATGCTTCTGACTGTTGGTCGTATGTACTGGGTATGGGATATCTACTCTGAGTGAATCCTGAAAGACCAAGCTCATGCGAAGCGAGGAGATGGTCCAAGGAAAAACAAATACTCCAACACTCCCATCAACCCAAAAAGAGTGAAGTGCCATCCTTAAAAATGCAGAGAGCAAAACAGAACTCATCACACACTCCCGAGTAAGCGGTTAGCTGAGGAAGATCTGGGTGTGCAACTCATCACAGCACAAGAGGAAAAGGTCTTCACACAACTACCCTGTGACACGAAGGGTTTGGAGCCGTTTTACTATCAAGAAGATGACACGAAGATGGTCCTCTACCTCAAACATGCAGAAAATCATGGCCATGACAAAGCATAATTCAGTACAGTGGACACTGAAATAGTAAGAAGAGGCAGGTCGACTAAGTGCTGGGTAAGTGAAATAGATAAATCAGTTGGAAGTTTAATGTGCTTATATGAGTTCGTTTTATACTCAGAAAAAATTACGTAAACTTAACCCTTTTGGTCAGGCTCAACAAATTGTTTGCATACCTTTGTTCGTAGCTAAGATCGCTTTGGACTGCGCAAGAAGCTGAAGTCTATTTTACTTGGCTTAAGTCGACAGTTGAGCCAGTCCACACGGCCAGAAGTGGCTTAGATGGCCTCTTTTCCTGGCTCTGCGTGACGTCACTTTTGTTTACTGCCTTCGGAGATAGGAATTGGCACTCACATAGGCCCTCTCTTCTTGTCAGCTCTCCGAAACTGAATCTCGGCTACCGACTGTCTTTTCTGTTTCGTAAAGTTACTAAAGCCCGTTTATCCTTTGTGTGTGTGTATATATATATATATATATATATATATATATATATATATATATATATATATATATATATATATATATATATATATATATATATATATACTGTATATTTCATGTAGATCCACACTGAAAACGTGGATAAGATAAATCTTGATAAAATCACACAGGAAAAAGGGAAACAACGGAGCACCTTAGCTTTCGTCTTTATTCAAACATCTTCAGAGGCAACTGGATTACAAGGACCGAGAGAGGTTGTCTTGCTTGGATCCATTAGTGGCGCACATCTAAGAAATTCCAGTGATCTGATGTTAAAGCATTATTTACCAATGTCCCTACAGACGGTGCAATGGAGGCAGTGAGGATGGTGTTAGCTAATATTCATGATAATGACTTGACTAAAAAAATGAACAGATAATGTTAAGCTCATATCCTTGTGTGTAAAATTTGGTGCATTTACATTACTTAACAATGAAAACACAATCTGTACACAGCCCTGGTCAATATTTGTATACAGCTCAGGTCAATATCTGTACACAGCTCAGGTCAATATCTGTACACAGCTCAGGTCAATATCTGTACACAGCTCAGGTCAATATCTGTACACAGCTCAGGTCAATATCTGTACACAGCTCAGGTCAATATCTGTACACAACTCAGGTCAATATCTGTACACAGCTCAGGTCAATATCTGTACACAGCTCAGGTCAATATCTGTACACAGGTCAATATCTGTACACAGCTCAGGTCAATATCTGTACACAGCTCAGGTCAATATCTATCTGTACACAGCTCAGGTCAATATCTGTACACAGCTCAGGTCAATATCTACACCGTTTAATCAGGAAACATGACCAGGAGATTCCGAACCAATTCTCTCGTATACACCAGACCGGGTCATGACTTCACCTTAGGATGAAGGTCCTCTTGTTCTGTGTGACTTTATATTATGTTGTAATTGGCCATAAAATGACTGTGTGGCTCAAGGCTGATTGGCAAGTGCTCCTCACACACTGACTTTAACGACCCACATTGGCTAGGTTGGAGATGCTGCTGCTTGTTCGTGAGTTGTGCTGTTAACGTCTACATAATGGCCCCTGTGCAGTACATAGACCAGTTACTTTGAGGGAGAAAAAATATATGAAAATTTGCAAAGAGAGAGAGAGAGAGAGAGAGAGAGAGAGAGAGAGAGAGAGAGAGAGAGAGAGAGAGAGAGAGATACAGATCTTTAAAAAAAAACAAATAAACTTTATAAATTTTCTCAGCGTTCTGGTAATTTTATCGAATGAAACGTTTCATAATCATGTTTTTGTGTTGTGTTCCTTTATGTGTGTATACAAAATGCTCACAGAAACGCTGAAGTATTGTTCTAAAATCTCAATCAGCAAAACTTCATTAATGATGCCTTATAATATGGCCTGGTCAACATGGTGCACACGGCTTCACCACCACATAGTGTAGAGTATATGTATCGTGACGTAATTAGTGACCAAGGCATAAAACTATAAAGCTTTTTCACTAACTGGTGTTTGTAAGTATAAGCAGCGCACGACAATATGCCTCGTACTGTACCATTGACAACACCAGCCTCTCAGTTCCTTAATACCTGTACAGTATTGACCATACCTACTGCAGTATAATATCATGCCGTCAAATATACAGATATAATGACATACCAGGGCAGTAATAAATTACTAATATACAGTATGACAATGCAAACGTATACCAAACCAGTATATTGTTGAAATAATTTGTTAGTACAATGGTATAACAAAACACAAGTTTATTAGTATAACAAAATATTAGTAAAAAGTAGTCATAAGATACGGTGGTGTTATATCAATGAGGAGAAGTTGGCTCTTAGTGGCTTATGTGTTGAGTTAGTTGTCAGAGAGTGATCAGATCTATGACAATACGGGCGAACTGTACCTCCCATGGGTGAGGACTTGGCAGAGGCCCTTGGCGGAAACCGGATCTCTAAGGACGAGGCTACAGGTACAGACAGGCTCTCCCGATGACGTCACATATATATGGTCAATAAACGTATGCCTTCCACTAGCACATAGACCCTGTGGTCTGTTTACACATGAGTTCTGTGAATTTCTAATAGACGAAACAACTGAATCAGAAAGGAATATGACAACACTAATTAACAAAATCGCCCAATCTTATCTCCCGATTTAATTACTCATTCAACTTTTATTTTTTGTCATAAATACCTGATTAGATTAACTATTTTTTTTATTCATCTATTCACTTAACTTAAGGCTCAGTGTCTTAACTTAATCTAACTTCCGGGAGTTCGTTGTTTGGTGTGCCCGTACCGGGAGACACGTGTGTTCCCTATCTATAGCTGCTAGGGTGGTACTGCTGTTGTGTACGGACACATTGGTGCTGTTGCAGGTATGTCATACTGTAGCAACCCACCTCTTACTACTGGAGGCCTTAGCAATATTTCCTCATCAGTAACGGTAGTTGTCCAGAAGGCTCAACTGAATACTTCCTGACGGAGGTCTGTGCTGCCTTACCTCCACAGTGTTAAGTGAAAGTTTAACAACATCGTCTCAGTAGATATGTGCGGAACTTTTAACAAGTTGGCCTCAGGTTATGGGAGAGGTGTGGTCTAGTGGTCACAGTTGTTCTGGGCAACATGGTCTTAGAAGCTTGGGATGAAGAATTGGCAAGTACCTCAGCGGGTCTGGCCCAAAGTTTGGCACAAGCCCTTAGCGCCTATAGTGGAGCTTTGGCACCAACTCCCCAGCATTATGTATACTATATATATATATATATATATATATATATATATATATATATATATATATATATATATATATATATATATATATATATATATATATATATATATATATGTGTGTGTGTGTGTGTGTGTGTGTGTGTGTGTGTGTGTGTGTGTGTGTGTGTGTGTGTGTGTGTGTGTGTGTGTGTGTGTGTGTGTGTGTGTGTGTGTGTGTGTGTGTGTGTGTGCGTGCTGGTTAACGAGACAATGTTCCTGTTAACCATTCAGTGTTTGTCTTCACATTAATAAGTACTATTGGTATATTAATAAATAATCTCTACTACCATTCACAGATATACTGTGTATTTCAACCCATCAACCCCAGAGGTTCGATCACCCCCGGAGGTCAGGGGGTGGGCGGGGGTCAGCGAGTATGGGGGTTGGGGCTCCTGGAGGACACGTCCACCACGAGGTAGGGGCGGACGAGCCCCACGCCCGCACACGCCCGCAGAATGTATAAAAACAAGTATAGGTGAACTTTGATTGCTGTCTGCCAACTGATCACAGGTGAGTGGTGTCGCTGCCTTTCTTCTTTTTTCTGGTACTATTTTGCGGAGATCGTTGCTCTTAGTCTAAGATAAACCGTCTATTGTATAATACCAATTAGTAGTCATAATTTATTTGTCCGACAAGGACACATTACAACTACAGATGTATTAAGTAGTTCAAGAGGGTCTGCTGTTGTTGGTTACTATGTTATGCGACAGAAGAAGACTTTGGGTGTAACACAATCTTCAGTGTTATGTGTCAGGAATCTTTTGTTGCTTTACCATCATTTGCAGATGTCTACTGAAGGGCGGTCAGCGCGGAGTGGTGGGCGTGGGGGGACGGGAAGCGTTGTGCCCCAACCCTACCCCGCCCAGTTCTACCCGATGGTTGGGTACCAGGGTCCCCCACAGCCATGGTTCCCCGCTCACTCCTCCTCGGGAGCCCCAACCCCGTGGGCCTGGAGCCCTCCCATGGGCTACCCGGCGCCCACCCCAGCCTGGTCCACCCAACAGACCGCTCCCACCATGACCACCAGCAGCAGCACGGCAGCCGCGCCCTCCGACGAGTACACTGTAGACACCCTAAGACGGATATATAACGACGACGACGGACGAGTGGAGATCCAGAGAGTGAAGGTACAACGCCGCCACCAAGAAGCAGGATCCATCCCCTTCCCTGCAAGCCCAGAAGTCATGAGGGTCGTTCCTGCGGGCCCAGAATCTATGAGCGTCGTCCCCGTGGGCAGCTTCCCTCTCAACGAGCGACGACCTCCGCCAAGAAAAAACAAACGGAAACAACAGATGCAGGTTATGCCTTCAACGCCCGGGCAGACGGGGCCCTACCCGTGGTATCCGTACATGCCGTGCGTGCCGTATCCGTACCCATACCCATATTATTTCGGAGGGTGTATGTGGCCGTCGGGTGCACCTGCTGCCTCGACGGCTTCTTGGAGTGGACACGACGAGAGTGAGAGAACATCGTCCCGGCAAGACTCTATACCAGCCACGCTGGACTCACAGCGTCTCGAGTCCCGTGCCTCTCATCCCTCCCGGGACTCTATCTCGCCCGTGTCACAGCGATCACCCTCCCCAACTGCCGCTTCTCATCTCACAGATATCCACAGCATCGCGCCCTCAGACAGTGTGTCGGTGCGCGGTCATAAGAGAGAATCATCCTTAGAGCGAGCTCTCAGAGGGCCCACTCCCCCTCCCCGCACGAAAAGTCGAGCGTCGTCGGAATTCAAATCAAGTGACGTCGGAAAGACGCAGGAGTGGATATTGGAGATGCATCGTGCACTGGGCACCACAGCTGACGGGGCCTCTGACGTCACAGACAAGTCGTCCTTCACAACTGCTCCTTCAGATGTCGTTGTATACAAAAAGATTCCCCCCAAAAGAAAGCGCCGGAAGGTCAAGATTGATAGTTTAAGTGATAGAGATTATTTGGGTGACCAAAAAGATTTGGACAATATTAGTGACAGACACAGTGTTGCGTCCGACATGACATTTGATGAATCCTCAAGACTGAGTTCCGAACTAACTTACGCTTTTAGGAAATTGGAGAAATCAGTTGATGTTTTCAAGACAAAAATCTCTGTGGATTCTACGCCAGTGCACAGTTCTGCCCCTTCTCCATCTATAGACATTATTCATTCCAGTGGTGAATTGACACCAACTGAAGGTATCATTACTGAGCCTCCCCCTTCTGACATCACCATTGCCCTAGATAAAACCAGTAAAAAGATAACTGAGAGCCAAGATCAACATGAAGCCTCAGCGAAATCTTCTGAATGTGCACTTTCGCCAGGGTCTGTCTGGTCTCTTCCCTCGTTGGAATCTGCTAAAACAGAACCAACAGTGGACGTCTCTGTTCCTCGGGTGGTAATAGAATCCCGAGACGTCGAACCTTCTCACTTTCGGCTTGACCCAGCTCATGAACCTCAGCTGCAGCCTACAGTTCCACAACCTACTGCTCTCAGTCCTACACCAGAAACAGGTCCTCTTCCCCCAGCATCTGACATTCCCGTGCTTCAGACCCCAGCAGAACAAAATATCACCCCAGCCACAGCTGCTATTGGTTCTCAGGAAGTGAGCATCGCAGTAAACTCGCAGTCAGTAACAACATCAGCAGATGTGACAACAATGACTGTACCACCTGCAGACGACACCTCTCCACCTGCACTACCAACAGAAGTTACACAGCCTGAGACGACATCAGAAACAATCACTTCTCAGGCTGTGCTAGCCCCATCACCTAATCAGCCTGTAACAATTTCAGCACCATCGGCCAGTCAGCCTGTACCTGAGTCATCTTCAGCGAGTCAACCCATAGAATTAACAGAAACACCGTCAGGAGCTTCAGCAGGAGCAGGTGTTACTGAGAGTACAATAGTGAGCGAAGGCGGGCGAGATTCCAGGGCCAGCAGCGGCACCTTCTTCTCGCTACGACCCTCCGACGACCCCGTGATGGTTGACACCGACTCTACTGACATCCTATTCCCCACCACCGACGCAACCACTGCTGACGAGGTACGCCCCCACCCTCCCCCTCCCCCAATATCCCCATTTATAAAAAAAAATTCCTGCCTGATTCTTCTTTAGGTCTATTGTTTTAAATTATCCACAAGACAAAAATGAAAGCTTGAATTCACAATTTGTGATCCTAAATTTCGTTATAAGATCAATGTTCTGACTTTCCTTTTTACGTTCTTAAGTGCCGTATATTGTATCCTTCCTTTACTCTTGCTTCATACACAAAGTTTTTACCAGATCAATCTAGGCGGCATCCTCAGGTAGGGCGACCATCTCCAAATGTTGTCGGCCTGTCTCTACCACTACCCTCTTGGATCACAGCTTTTAATTCTATTCACTCCTCCCAGTCTCTGCCTTCCCCTAACACTCATACCCTCAGTTTTGCCCATTGGTATCTATCCTTTTACCTTCCCACCTGATCACACAGCCAAAGTACCTAATTTTCCTATTAAATAAATTTCCAGTACTTCCCTGAGGTCTGGCATTACTTCTTCATTTGTTATCCTATCTGTGCAATTCATTCCTTAACTTTCTCATATAACACCACATTTGCGAGGCTTCTGACCCACACAACAATACTGACCACACATTTCATTACAGAAACAGATTTTTCAAACTGACACTATTGTGCCTTTACAACACAAGATTTTTATTTTATTTTTTATTTATTTTTGTATTATTGTTTTAAATTTTCTCACATAATTATCTTCGTAACTTATGTTACTTCCCTGATAATTAGTCAGAGTCATACTCAACACCTGTAATATATCATCTGCTCAACACCTGTAATATATCATCTGCTCAACACCTGTAATATATCATCTGCTCAACACCTGTAATATATCATCTGCTCAACACCTGTAATATATCATCTGCTCACCGGTTTGCTGGAGGTCTGCTGATATATTTTTTTTTATGCTTGTGTATTTTTACAATCACATTCATTTGTGTTTAAATTGCATTAAAGTCGTTCAATTTGTTGTTCTTAAAACACAAAGGTATTACCTTCTCACACCAAGTGAAAAAAACATTCTTGAATAACGAATGGAAAAAATAACGAACGATAACCAGTTGTCTAACATGTTCCTGAGAGGTAGCCAGGATTAACAGGATTTGTATCAAGTAATTTAATCCTGTCTAAATTAGCTCTTCTTCAAGAACAATTACCTCTGTACAGTAAATTAGTTATTATGGATTATTACCGAACCAATTTTTCCCTACAACACACAATTTTAAATTCATTCTCTAATAGTTGTGAATACACTGTACTCTTGACTCACCAGACAGAGTAACGTCCTCGGGGAACACCAGTCGACTCACCTCACAGTCTACCCCCTCAACCCCTCACCCCTATCAGTAGAACCTGTACCTTCCTCCATCACCCTTGAAGTCACCTATATTGTGACTCCACTTCATTCACGTAACTGTTGAACTGTTAGGACTACAGTACACATAGTCCTGCCCTAATCAGTGAAAGTTAGCAATATTTACTATCCATATCCCGGTGTAGGTCACAACCTTTAGTGTTTCAAGGGCCAGGGTTGGTCACGTACAGTCCTGGACATTCCCACGTTAGACACTCACCCACAAATGTAAACCCATGAATGTGGGGCTAGGAAATCTGAAGTAACAGGCAGCGATTCATTTATCTGGTAACAATGTGTGTGTGTGTGTGTGTGTGTGTGTGTGTGGCAGGGGGAGGAGGGAGGTATGGAAGGGGGAGGGGGAGGGTATGGGCAGTGGTGGTGCGGGGGTCACCGAGTTTTGTGTTGCATGTAGTTGCCATATATTGTTTTAGCATATGATGGATATATGAAGATGTAAGAGGGTGATTAAGATTTAAGATTATGTATGGGTATGCAGATGTATTAAGATATACTGTATAGGATTAATATGAATGGATAATAAATGTATTTAAATAATCACATGTTTGCAGATGATCCCTTCTTGTTTGTGGGGACAAGGGTGGCATGTCAGGAAATGCTCTCACCAGAACACTCTCATTTATTGTCACTGTAATGCATATTTTACATGCAGTTAATTTTACAAATTACAAAATTAACAATCCTCATCATAATGTTCAGCCCCAATGAATATACTGTAGATGTAAGGTTTACACCGTGAGGCCACCATGAGACTTGACATCAATCTACAAATCACATTGTCTGGCAACATTGATCCTTTACCGTCGCTGTATACATTTTGCTCTCATTAAATGACTGATCTAGTAGGGCCGCCTATGTCACGTTATACACCTAACCTTGCCCCGGGTCATGCTTCCCTCCAGCCATCCATTACAACATTTACCCAGAATTACCATTAACAACCACACATGGTGAATTCAGTATTCCAATATGAACCTCGGCCAAATATTTGACGTTTGCAGGAATAGAGTGTTTGTCATTAAGTTAATGCAGTTTGAAGGCTTTAAAATTTCAGTGCATACATAGTATTTATATGTATTGTGTGATACTCAAATTCATTCCACTTTACCTAGTACCGAAGGTTACACTTGTATAAATAGCAGTAACCTGTATTGTGTGTTCATCCCTTTGAAAATGTTTTCTGGCAAAACGTCAGGAGTAAAGCTCCATCTTTTAGTTGTGTTTCCTTCACTACCATACTCCCATCTATCCACTATAAACAATGTCTATGACCACTCAGAGCTAGTTGAGTTTCGTGCTGTATCACTTCTGGGCTCCTGATATTACCTCGGGTCCATTGTTATTGTCTATTTACATTATTACGTCACCAATTGCGCAAAAACATCACTTTAAAACCCCTTTTGCTTTTCTCCATTCGTGAAAAGATCTCTCCTTTTCCATATCAAATAATTGGCTGTTTACGTTCATATTGGATTACTAAATTCACCTTGTGTGGTAGTTCGTGGTGATACTGGGAAAGTGTTGTCATGGGTGGCTGGAGATGTGAGTTAGTTGTGGAATAGAGGGCACACCGCCACCCAACAAAGCTGAAATACACATCTCCTTATGGCTGGTGACTAGGGAGGGAGCTGGCAAGGCATATAAAGGCATGGTTACGTGGGCTAGCTACTGTATATGCCTGGTGGTTTACATGGTTACATAGGACTGGACTCATTACACAGTTTCAGTAAATCAATAATTATATATATTTAATAAAAGTGCAAACCCATTTCCTTAAGCATAATCACCTTCTTCCATCTCCATCTATCCATAATATACTGAAACAACACATGATAACTGCACTCCCCTAACATTCCTCCTTACCCCCCCCCCCCACATTGTTTCCAGAAAAATGAATCTCTGCCTGTTGCTTCAGATCCCCAAGTCTTACATTCATGGGTTCAAATTTGTCCGAAGTGTAGATTTGACGGATTGGAGAGTTTAAGCCCGTGTTTATATAACACTATTTTAGAATTATAATAAATGTATTATAATTTTTGTCTTCTGAGTAAGAAAATATTTTCATTAGTTTACAATCTCCATTTATAATTGAATATTGAGGCCCGACAAGCTCATGTAAATGTCTAGCTGATTACATTTTGACGTAACTAATTATTCTCTCTTTCTCTCGGTAAATAATAAAATTAATTTCTCTAAATGACAATGTCTCTCTTTAGCGCGTGTATGTCACTTTCAAGAACTAACTTTCGGGTATTTCTCCAAGGGTGAGGAACATACGGACTCCACTACAGCGGTGAGTCCTGGGCCAGACGAAGGGTACCAGTGGGTGCTGCAGCAGCCTGGGGAGACACCCGACCTTTTCACCAGCCCAAGCCGAGGACGAACGACGTAACGCCTGGCGCGCCGAAGTGAGGTGTGTATACATACCGTTATCAGCAGTTATTAGGGACATCCCGAATGACGTGTTCATCAAGGGTTCTAATTAGTTAACTGAAGCCAGAACCCCCCAAAAAATAATTACCATAGTGTTCAATAAAGAATATTAATGTAGAGAATATGAAGAAGGTTTAAATACCTTGTTATTGTGTTCTAAATAATGTTAAATTTATTATCACACCAATGGTTGCCGTCCAAAACTTACCCCGAAAGACACGGTGATGGAAAACATAATATTCCTATGCTTAGCTTTTTAATCGGGATAGACTTCAGTTAAACCTGCATAAGATACTCTTCAAGTGTTTTCAGTTACCCAGTCATGACTAAAGTATGGAATCCTTGACGAGAGTACAAGGGAAACACACCGACGCAGCCGGTAGAGCCCCGTTACTGTAGTAACACTCTGTAATGGGGAGGGGGATGGTTAGGCAACTTGGGGACACATGTGATTACTCTACTGTGGGTATGACCTAACAGAGCCTTAATTCTTCAAGTGATACATTTACTGCCAGCCTGGATTGCTTTGTTGCAACCAGGCTTCATCTAGAACTTCTTTCCGGCATAACAACAAATGGTACTCTTGGGTTTACTACACATAGTCTCGCGTCACTGACAGTCACTGTGGACGGTTGTCGCGGCAAGGAGAACTGGTAAGCGTGACTTGGATTAACCTGGGTGTAATAGACCAGCCTGGATTGCTTTTGTCGCATCCAGGCTTCCACTGATATTTTCACGGGGATAACAACCTAGGTTAACGCTTAGTCTCGTTTCGACGACGGTTCACAGGACAGAGTGGCGGTGGAGGACTCTGTGTGGTGTGGTGTCCCTCCCCTTCAGGACGGAGAGGATGGAAGGACGTCTTAACACCCATGGCTCAGGGATACTACTCAAAATGAGGTTTTTGGGTGTGAAACGATGAACAGTGCAACACTGTTTCACTGCCCCCCCCCCTAAAGGCTGGCTAACATACACTAGTTAATACATGTCCCAGTTAGCCTCGTGGTGTCTTATCTCTGGTAAAACAAACTTTGGCGGTGGTTGCGTGGGTAAGCCTAACGCAACCCATGACAGTTAGGTTAGGTTACGGGTGGCGGTAGAGTCACAGAGTTTTGTTCAGGAGGAAGTTGCCAAGTATTGCTTCTGTATAATAAGGATAGATGAAGGCGGAAAGGACCCAATATGAGTTAAGAGCATTGTGAGAAGTCAGGGCTGATAATAAGCTTCAATACTTTTGTGATCCTGACAATACCTCGGCTGCACTGTTAATGCCACCAATGGAAGGTTTCAATATTTTATATGTTCTCCTTTCCTCCCTTACTTTATATATATAAGGATCAACACCTGATATTTATATCTGGATAAAACTTTGTAAAACTTGATTTAGATTTTAGATTTAGATTTTGATAATTGTTGTCAAGAAAATGTACCTTTTATAATTTTTAATAAATAGTTTCTGCTGTAAAGATGCACTGTTCTCTAGTGTGTTATTACGTAAATGCAGTAAACTTGCAACCGTTCTACTTGCCATGGTCAGTTTTATTTCTAGAAGTTTTTAGGGTGTATGTACATTTTGGTCATAAATGGAATATGACGGTTTACTTGGATTTATCACAAATATATGCACATATTGTAAATATCTTCAAGTGACGTCATTTTCCATAATAATATGAGTTTCTTAAATGTGTGTGTCGAACGCAGTCTATGGCGGGCGCGCCTGGTGGTGTCGCTGTGTCGGGGTAGAGGACTGGACCGCCAGGATTGGGCCACTTTCCACCTGCTGGTTCACCACCCGCTCACTGGACCTGAAGCTGTCGCTGCTGCACGCCCCTGCCTCTGTGCCGCCAACACGTCGACGGGGGCGGCGCTGGTGAGGGTGGCGCTCATACACCTGGCACAGTATGGCGAGACCCTCCTTCAGCCTGAAGGATCCAGGCAACACGGCTGGCGATCCATCAAGGTCGACCCCAATCAACCCTGGGCACCCGTCAAGGTCAGTTAGTCAACTGTTAGTAACTCGTCACCTGTTAATAACTCTATATAAATCTCCTCATAAACACAGCGTCAACAGTGCCCCACCACTCAGTAGTGTCAACTACTACTACCACTACTTTGCTGTCACACGCAATCAAGTATGACGATCATCCAGCTAGGATACAATGAAAGGAGTCATTAAGGATGGCACCTTCATTGGTGAGCTCTGAGGTGACTCGAGAAGCCGATACGGGATCGGCACATGAACGTTCACCCGCTTTCACTAGATAGTTTTTATAATAATAAATAATAACAAAGATTCTTATTTCACAATTCTTAACTCGCCATTATCTTGAACATCTGCCTCAGAAAGATTTAAATTAATTTGTCCAAGTACTAACTTTATCGAGGTCGGGCGAGTGGTTAGTGTTGTTATCACACCGAGGGGGTTATTATACTTCAAGGAGTAATACACTAAACTTGCCATTATTTTTTATGAATAAGATTTGTAAGCAAACCTATAATAATAAAATGTGTGTGTGTGTGTGTGTGTGTGTGTGTGTGTGTGTTTAATAATAATAATAATAATAATAATAATAATATTAATAATAATAATAATAATAATTAACGGTTTATTGAAAAGTTCTGCAGCCCGAAGGCTGAAAATATACATTGGACATAAATGACTTATTACACATTGGTGGTTTAACAAAAGCCTTCATTAGAAAGGAAAGGAACATATAGTGAACATACAGATTAATGTAGGTGTTGAACAGCAAACAAGGTAGTGTGTGTGTGTGTGTGTGTGTGTGTGTGATATCTTCAAGACCTGAAACTTTGTAAGCATACTAAGGAGATACTGAGCGTGTGCACTTCAGTGTTACTTTTTATAGATTTGGCTTAAAAAAATAAATAAATAGATAAATAAATTTGGGGAAGAGTGGCAGGAGCCTTGCTTAAATGTGATAGTGTAGGTGATGTAGTACTGGTGACTGTGTACATAATAGTGTAGTTGATGTAGTGTGATGATGTTGTAGATAATGTAATGTACATGATTGTGTAGTTGATGTAGAGTAGATGGTAGTGTAGTTGACAGTGTAGTCATGGACATAGGCTATGAGCTGTCACTCAAAATAAAGCCCGGTTTCTCAGTTAGTTTGTAACAATAACTGTTATATAAGTAAACTATGGTCTAATGATACTTGTGGTTATACATAGCTCAAATTTCATCATAAGATCATAAGAATGGAGGAAACTGCAGCGGGCATTTTGGCCCATACTTGACAGCCCCGTTTACACCCAACCCCTATGAAGATATTCCAATTTATCTCATCAAAATCTAATCATTGTTACTAAGCCTTGTTCTATCGAGTTTCACTATATGTGTGTTTACTTCGTGCAGGGTGCTGTGGAGATCCTACGGTCCCTTGGGTACTGTGAGCGTGAAGACGGTGGTGTCCTGAGGTATCCCCGCCGCTCTAACACTGAGGTGTCGGTGCTGGCCCGCCTTACACTTGACATGTTAGTGCTTGCAGAGGAGCTGCGCCTCTATCTCACCGGCACCCACCAGTACCCCAGCAACATCTCGGAACTGTTCTTCTCATCAGTATCCTCGGCCGTGCCTACTGAATTGCCACAGAGGCCTCCTTCGTCAGCGGGAAGTTTTGTGTCCGCACACTCTGAGGCGTCCCTTGACCTCAGACGTGCCAGTCAAGCGTCGTCCGTCACCGATGACGACATGGAGACTTTGCAGGCGTCTGTCAGGCAGACAAAGACTCTCACGAAGACTCGTCGAGGCTCAACATCAGAGGAAGAAGTGACCTTAAGAGATGATATTATAAACAATGTTATGATCAAGACAGAAGAACCAGAGATCACGCCACACACCCATGAGCAGCCCAAAGAAGAAGCCGTTCTCTCCCTGACTTCTGGCACGCTGCCTGTCAGTACAGAGACTGGTCATCTGGGTTCCACAGTGTCACTTCCCGCGCCTGCTGGTGATAGACTATCTGTCAGCACTATCAACACTAACATGTCTGGTTACCGGACCTCCAGTCTATCAGCCGACTCCATCTCTCAGAAGAGCCCCCGATACAGCGGGTCTGCCACGTCAGGTAGCAACGAGACCGTCACACCTGTTGCTACCCCAGCACCTGTTACTCCAGCTTCTACTACCCCAGCACCTACTACCCCAGCACCTACTACCCCGGCACCTACTACCCCAGCACCTACTACCCCGGCACCTACTACCCTAATACCTACTACCACGGCACCTACTACCCAAAAACCTACTACCTCACCTGCCCCCGAGGCCACGGATAACCCAGAGGAACACGTATACGAGGAAATCGACTTGATTCGCGCACAGGTTCAGGCGCTGAGAGCTTCCAGTGTACCCGTGGAGTCCCCGCCTCCTCCACTTCCCCCAAAGAAGAAAATTAGCTCGGGCGGCGAGGATGATTCTGGGTTAAGTCTGACGTACCCTCAAGTGGAGTGGTCATCCGCCTCCATGCCAGGCTCGCTACGTGGTGGGTCAACAGGAGCAAAAAGAAAGAAACGTCGTGCCAATGCCTCCAGAGTTTATGCCTTCTGACTGGAAACACTATCAGAACGGATCTCAGGGGAATATTGAGCAGACAATCGAAATACGAGAGTCCAAAGAGGACGGGAAGAAAAAGGCTGAATACAGAAAATCCTTAAATCCATTCTACGAAGACATAGATTCTATAAAGAAAAAGGTGAAGGAACTGAATGAGAATTCTGATGTGAAAACTGAGATCCAGTCAGTCATCAAAGACTCAGATGGTAATCCATTCGTTACAGATAGTACATTAGTGGCCGGCTATGTTGGGAGGAATCCGTTTTATGAGGACGTTCAGCTGTTGAAGGATAAGAAAGAATGTAATGAAGAGAGCGAGCCTAGTCGTTCTCTTCCATCTCCCAAATTGGACGGGTCAGTGTGTGCAATGGGTTCCCTCTCAGAGCTGCAGGACGAGTCATTTGTAGTCAGACCAAAGCGTCGAGCTCCTAAGCCACCTCCCACTCCACAACCAAACACACACCCGTCAACACCAGAGCCTCCCACCCATCCAACATCTCCAAACCCAACCAAACCAGACCCACCAAAGCGCCCACCTACACCTAAGATACTCAAAAAGGTGTCCTCCACGTCACCTGCATCTTTGCCTAAAAGTGAATATCTGCCAACAGAACAGGATAACTTAAAGCAAGAAGTCGTCGCTGAAGGTGGTGACCAGCATAAACACGGGAATATAAGTGTTCAGACACAAGTACTTCGATTACAGATAAATTAACTGAAATTAACGACACCGTGACACCAATAACCGGTGAAAAAGATATGTTTATTGACCCAAAGAAGAATGAAGTAGAAAGTCATCTAGATACAGAAGAGACAAACAAAAGAGTTCCTACTGGGAAAATTGAAAACTTGGATGACATCCCTTACATGGACGCTAATGAAATTAAATACGCAAAGGCCAAACAGTGTGCACAATCTTCTCAGCAACACGGGAAATCCGAAGTAGCTACCATACCTCCCCTGTCCCCAACGATTATTAGACAGTCAACCCTACTGCTCAGAGGAACGCGTAATGTTCCCTTCATAGATGATTCCGATCTACCTCCTGATTGTCCTCCTCCTCCACCGCCTGGTCCCCCACCAGAGTCCCCACCAGAAACTCCCCACACCTCCCCACCTAAGACTCCTCATACTTCCCCTTCTGACACTCCCCGCGCCTCCCCACAGCCCCAAATCATGACAGGCGCTCCTCTTGCCTCTACTTCCCCATCCGACATGAAATCTACTCAAGATGTTGACACAAGTAAAATTGAAAGTGCTGAAGATGACAAAGACAAAGCGCCACCGATACCACCGAAAACGTCACAACTTGCCACCACAATGTCAACAACAGAACCTACTCAGTTAATATCATCAGTGGCTTCATCGACCACACATTCACCGACATCAACAGATGTACAACCACCCATCTCTCCAGAAACCTCACAGTCGCCGCCATCATTGCCACCCAAGCCATCACTGCAGGCAGTAACACCAGCACCGTCAGAAACCTCAGTATCGGACACTCATGAACAAGTTTCAGGAAAACATTCAGTTCAGAGCTCGGTGTCAGACGAGAGATATGAAATCCCGGATACATCCATCGCCCCTCCGCCAAGACCTCCTCCTCCCAAACAGACACCCACAACGACGCAGGTCAAGGACAAGACTCCTGAGCCTTACACCGCACCTTCAGAGGCTGACAGATACGAGGTTCCTGAAGTTCCCGGGGAAGAAGTTAAAACCTCAAAGACAACTGAAGTTGAAGAAAGATACGAGATCCCGGAGGTGGTGAAGGAGACGTCTGTGGCGTTTGGGTCTAATGGCGGGGTAAGTATTAGAGTTGAGTGTGCAATATAACATTAGTTGTTTTGCTTCTAAGTACAGATTTAAGTCACCCTTCTTGATCATCCATTGAAAGTGTTTGTGAGTTTTGGATTTGCTTTTGTGTGTTATTTCCTTGAAGGTCGAAGAGATTTCGACCCCATTTTTTTATTTTGTTTTTGTCTTGGTACACAGTTCCTCATTCTCCAGACTTATTTCAAGACAAATCTTCGTATTTGTTTCATAAATTTGGAGAAAATTGTGGTTTTATCACCAAGTACTTCCAACATTTAGTCTCCATTTATAACTGCGTTCAGCTATGTTTTGCTGTTTCATTATTTTCTGCCATTTAGTACACTTTTTTTTATTTTTTATAAATAATAATCACCCCAGCCCTAATCCTTGGCTGTTAGTTCCTAGTGAGACGCGGTCCAATCTAACTCCCAAATATAATATAATCGATGGTTCTTGGCAGGGCAGTGTAATCTAGTTGTGGAAGTTACTGTATGGTGAGGCATATTTTTTCTTTACTTTGGAGGATGCTAGACACTGCTATCCCTGGTGAGTCAGCGATCATCTCACCTCACTGATATGAATATTAGTTCCTGATAAGATAGAGTCCACCCCGGCTCTCAAGCGTAACTTTCTCAGGTGACGTATCCTCCATCCTAGCACTTAGACAGCAAAGATAACGAAGAATTGATTATCGCTGCTTTAGTGACTAGTGAGGAGTGGGTGACAAACCCAAGCCGGAAACACAGTGGGGTGAACCAGCCGGAGGCGATGGGGAGTCAGAAGGGAGAGGGCGTAGGTCGGGGGAGGTAGTGGGTCGAGGGCAGCAATATGGTTCAAGCTAAGGTAGGTGAAGGCGAGAAAACTTCTCTCAGCCAGGGTCACCATAGCACTCTGGTGCGATTGTTAATTTCTGATAGCCGGGATTTATCCTAGCATATTAACTTTGACTGTCAGGTCCCGATGAGGCAGGATCTTTCCCTAATTTTAGGTCTGAACTGCTAATTCATGTTGGAAAATTTAATGTTTTGGTAGAGATCCATAAATGAATAAAACAAACTGAGAGTAAATAACAAGTAGCTCTCACCACCATCACCAGGATTACAATGTGAATATTAAATTTTTGGCCAAACTTATTTTTTTTTTCACACAGAATTAGAAAACGATATTCTGGCAAAACTAAAACAGACCACATCTGCCTTGCTAAATCGTGGCTGCCGCTCCGGTCCTCCATAATGACTTGATAACCTAGATTCAACTCCACCACCGACATAAGTGTGTTATCACACCAGTTTGTATCAAAATTCACTTCTCAACCAGATTTACAAAAAAAGTCTGGGGTAAAATAAGACAACCCGGAGATACAGTAGTCACGTGACGAAACAACACATAACAGGAAGCAGCTCAGTGTGTCATAGCAGAATACAGATTCACTCATCTACTGCATCAGGATACAGCTGGCACAGTACCGTCATCAACACTCGGTATTTTCAAGTTTGGTGTTGTGCTTTTATCAGCAGCGTCACCCCTCTGGTGGCTGGGGCCGCAGAGGTGAGGCTGGCCATTCAGAGTTCTGACCGATATAACGGAGTCCACCAACGGTCCACTGAGGCTATTATGTAGTCAATACTGGCTCACTGGCACTTTCTATCACCTGTGTAAAACAATGACCCATTTTAACCAGTTCATTTTCCTTATTCTAGTGAGGAAAAAACTACGTCAAAATCTAGAAACTGAGGCGAACTACACCCCGTCTTCGTTATATACTGTATATATATATATATATATATATATATATATATATATATATATATATATATATATATATATATATATATATATATATATATATATATATATATATATATATATATATATAAATGTGTGTGTGTGTGTAAAGAAAAAAGAAAACTGAAAAAGACAAATGTAAAACAAATAGAAGAATGTACCAAAAGATCATTAAGGATTATCGACGGTCCGGGTGATAAGCCCAGAAGGTGTTGTGTCTGAAGGTTATCCACGAACTATTGGTGTTAGCAACTCTTGTCTCAGACGCTCCCCTTCAAGGACCATTTTTAGTTTTACCATGTCCACGATGGTGGTGGATGGAGGCTAGAAACAATCACATCTCATAAAACTTTCTGATATTAACTCCCAACATGACTACTTTTATGTATATATGCCTACGTCATCACCACTGTACCGGCAAACTATAACATGAGCTACACTGTGCAGCAAACACTTATTACAAGCTCAGTCTGCACCACAAGCTGTGTACACCATACACTCACAACACAAACACTAATATATTCCGTTACAATCACTGCAATAATGCAATCTCATACTGCAACTCATATTGTCTCACAAAGGTTGAAGCTCAATCGCCATAGTCACACAACCATTATGTCACACTAGGTCACACAACCATTATGTCACACTAGGTCACACAACCATTATGTCACACTAGGTCACACAACCATTATGTCACACTAGGTCACACAACCATTATGTCACACTAGGTCACACAACCATTATGTCACACTAGGTCACACAACCATTATGTCACACTAGGTCACACAACCATTATGTCACACTAGGTCACACAACCATTATGTCACACTAGGTCACACAACCATTATGTCACACTAGGTCACACAACCATTATGTCACACTAGGTCACACAACCATTATGTCACACTAGGTCACACAACCATTATGTCACACTAGGTCACACAACCATTATGTCACACTAGGTCACACAACAGTCTATGCTGGAGCCGCCTCGCTTCTCATTCAACGCTCCTGCATGATGTTTGTTTCTCTCTCCACAGACATCTGTGTCGGCCAAACCCTCTTGCACCCTTCTCTGATTCTCCCATACAGCGTAAGTTCCTGCTTGCCCCACTCCCCCCCCTCCTCCTCCCTCTTCCTCCCTCCATTCGGTATTAACTCTTTTGCATTCCCATTATCTATTTTTTTTTTTACTTTCACTAACTATAACTTCATTTATTTCCTCCGCCTCTTGAATTGTTTGCAAGTTTTTGTTGCTTGTGTTTGCTTGGTTTGCATTTGTTTCCCGTGTTTTGCGTGCTTATTTATCTTATAGCCTATCTCACTTTACACACACACACACACACACACACACACACACACACACACACACACACACACACACACACACTCTCTCCTTTAGTTATATTACTTGGCATGTTTGTTTTGTTTCGTTCCCCAATATGTTTCTCAACTCTGGCCACTAAATATGAAACATTTTGTTTTAAGTTTCTCATCTGTTTCTCAACATATATTGCTCTTACTATCATCGTTTATATTCTGTGTCATTTTTGCTCTTGCTGGTGTGGTTGAGAATGTTTACATTATCTACCAAACAGGGAGGTACTACCGCTGTGAAGACACTGTGTTGTCTATGGTAGACCCTGCTGCCATATGTGACCAAGTCCCAGGTTGATGATCTGACTTTCTGCCTCATTTACACACAATTGCAGGGTCTCAATTGTTTCTCTTACTTTAACAACACAACATACATATATTGTTTCTCACTATTGATCTCTATTATTATTATTATTATTATTATTATTATTATTATTATTATTTTATTATTATTATTATTATTATTATTATTATTATTATTATTATTACTATTATTATTATTATTATTATTATTATTATTATTATTATTATTATTATTATTATTATTATTATTATTATTATTATTATTATTATTATTATTATTATTATTATTATTATTATTATTATTATTATTATTATTATTATTATTATTATTACACTTTTGCCTCCCAGGCCACGATGAGGGTCAGTGACCTGTGCTCAGGTGGGCTAATCCCGTATAAAAAAAAAATCCATTTCGTTCTCTCCGAATTTTTTACATACTTTGTACTGTACGTGGTCGGTGTATTTGAAGTCACACGGTGTTGAGAGGTGACATGTTCCCTTTCATCCTAGGTCATGGAAAAAAAATTTGTAAGTGTTCAACCTCCAGCGATGTTAACATATGACGGCGAGGAAGGCTGTAACACACACCCTCACAAGAACACAGGTACAGGCGGCAACACGAGAATCTCGGAACCTACTTTACCGATCTATAGTGATGATGGGTGGTGTTATATGTAGTGGTGATGATGAATGATGTTTTATGTAGTGATGATGGGTGGTGTTATATGTAGTGGTGATGATGAATGATGTTTTATGTAGTGATGATGGGTGGTGTTATATGTAGTGATGATGGATGGTGTTATATGTAGTGATGATGGGTGGTGTTATATGTAGTGATGATGAATGGTGTTATATGTAGTGATGATGGGTGGTGTTATATGTAGTGATGATGGATGGTGTTATATGTAGTGATGATGAATGGTGTTATATGTAGTGATGATGGATGATGTTATATGTGGTGATGATGGATGATGTTATATGTAGTGATGATGGGTGGTGTTATATTTAGTGATGATTAGACAATAAATTAATAACAGTTTAATGCTAAAAAAATATACTTTGCTGTATCGTTGTAGTGGAACTTTCATACACCGTTAATGAACTATTGATGGAAGAAGAAGTTTTGGGGACTGAACAGTGAGACAATGTGGAGCCTCCCGGAGGGTGGCGTCCTACCGTGGCCTAGCGGATGAGCACGATTCTGCTAGTATATATATATATATATATATATATATATATATATATATATATATATATATATATATATATATATATATATATATATATATATATATATATAAGCGCTTGGGAACTTCGTGTTTTTCTTTTCCTTGTGGTTATCAGCATATACCTGGATCACGCGCACCTACAGTGATTTGTACACACACACACACACACACACACACACACACATATATATATATATATATATATATATATATATATATATATATATATATATATATATATGTATATATATATATATATATATATATATATATATATATATATATATATATATATATATATATATATATATATATATATATATATATATATATATATATTTCATGTAAATCCACAATGAAAACGTGGATAAGATAAATCTTGATAAAATCACACGGGAAAATGGAAACAACGGAGCACCTTAGCTTTCGTCTTTATTCAAGACATCTTCAGAGGCAACTGGACTACATGGACAGAGAGAGGCTTAAATATACAGGGTGATCTTAAAAACATGAGGTCAGGTACAGTTCTTTTGGTCGGCCAGATTTTCCCATCATCATTCAAGACTGCCCTGCAAGCTTAATGACCAGGGAAATACTAAATCAGACACTATGTTTTATTTATGTACCTTCTAACTATCATTATATGTATTTATATGTGTACAATAACATATCTACCTTCTTCTGTGCATTTCATAATACAGTAAAATGCTTGATCTGTGTGACCGATATTGTCTTGTAGTATTTGTAGGTTAACTGAAGTACAGGTGACAGCTACTTGCATGTTGTCTGATATATATTAGATTTGTTTTGTAGCCTTCTAGTTTAGATTAACACTTTATTTTGAATAATCACATTACTGTGATTGCCACTTCTTTGGTTATCAGTTAATGTTCATAATGTGATGAGCACATAGTACTACGAGGTCCTCGGTGTGCATATTTAGTATTAATTGACATACTTGCTCATTTAATATTTATGTAAAGCGGATGAGGTTAATCAGCAGAGCTTCTACATCCGACAACTATGCACAATGTATAGTACATAGATTTATTTACTGATAACTGTAATCTAATTTTCTATCTATCGTCATATTTACAAACACGTTTACGCAATTGTTAATTTGTTATCCCGACAGCCGCTGGCAATGGTAATAGGCAGAACCAATTGGACAAGGCAGAGGAACATAGAGGCAGTATTTGGACCACCTAAGCCACCCCGTCGACGCAGGAGTCACCCACCACCTCCACCAAGACCACCCAAAAATGTGGCCCTGATAGAGGGAACTCGGCCACCCTTTAAGACAGGAGCAGCAGCAAGGCCCCCCTCTTCCACCTCCTCCTTCAGCACCACATCAGGGACTACGAGTTCCTCCTTGACGACGCCACCAAAACCTGTAGAGTGTAAACAAAAAAGTTTGAAGGCACGGCGGTCGTGGCCATTCCTCTTTTGTGATTGTGTGTACGTCAACTGTCGCACAGACGACGATGCAGAAAAAAAATGAAACAAAATTATTATTTGTTGTACTATTTGGTAAGGTACTAATCTGTGTTGGACAAAATCTGGTTCTGGTTTCTGTATTTTTGACCCAGGAAAGAGTTTCTTGCCGCGATTCCTTGCTGGTTATCGTTTGCATTATATATTGTCGCTGTCTGTAAACGGGATTTGTGGTAATGGATATACTAGATTTGAAATTAAAAACTTTTACGAATTACCATTTTACAGTCCAAGATTATTTTTATTTGTGACTATGGTATACGTTAAAACCACCTCATTTTAATTGTGAATGCTTTTTGTCATATGTATCATTTTTGTAATATATAATTATATATATTTATGATTCCTTACTATTGATTGTGAGACAATTGACATTGCAGACAAGAGAGTCTAGATCAACACAATTCATACCAGTGTTCCTTCTGTTCAGCGTGGTACATTACCGAAACATCCAAAGGAAATACATTTCCAGTATTTTTTAAAAGAGGTATTTTTATTGAAAACAAATCATTGCTAGTAGTTTATCCAAACTGTTATTGCACGGTAACGACGCTTACAAAAGATCCAGTTAGATATTTGCTTTAAATTGTCCCCCACTAAACGCTTTCATCCGCTGTATTATACTGCAGTAGTGTCATTGTGAAGTCTGTGATTCTTAAAGGATAATCCTCGTCCAGGTCGGTTTATATAGGTTGGGTTGGTGCGAGTGTTGAGTCACAGAAGACATCGAGTGTGTGAGTAACAAACAGCTGTGACAATTTACTGTATGTGCCACGATCAGGAGTAACGCGTAACTGTTAGGCAGGCTAGGCTGTCTGTTAAATAATCAGAGGCATAACGTTCCAGCTGTGGTAGCTCTTTTGACTGGTTGAAATATATTTGATTGATATGACAACTCGGTTTTTGATGGTTACAGTGGTCAAATACAGTATGTGTAATTTCTCAAGTTCCAAGTGATATTGAACCCATGTCAAATAAATCCCTCAATCCTTGGCAACTAACTTTCCTTCCAACTTCCTCACAATATTCTTAAATATTTGTTTTTACCAATGGCAGTGACAGTGCCGTATTTAGACCTGTGGAGGCCCATGGGCAGCCTCTTTGTGGAGGCCCCCTTCATTATAACTACCCAAGAGGGTGGGGTGGCGAGTGAAGCGAGCCTAAACATCTGGGAGTTCCCGGGGGACGCTGTAAGCCACCCGGGAAAATTTTGAAATTTGAGCACTTCTTTGGAGAATTTTGAAGCCATATGCAGTTATATTGAGGACATTAGAACACAGCGCCCTGATGGCATTCGTAATGGAAGTGATAATGAAAAAAATATTATTTGTTTTTTTTAATCTCAATTTCATGTTTCCATGTAGTTCATTTTTAATCAATATATGTTTGTGGAATTATAAATATATTATTAGCAACACAAACAATAGCATTCATTAAAAATATACGGTTCATAGAAAAACCAGGTATTCATGAATTTCAAGGAGTAGCTAGCCTAATTTCTATCTCGCTTCTTGCTGAACATAGTTTTACGTGATGGAATAGATAAACATGAATTTTACAGAATGAAAATAAAAATAATCCAAATGAATAAACAAATAAATAAAATATTGTTATATGTGGAGGCCCCCAGATTGTAGAGGCCCCTGGGCAGCTGCCCACTTTGCCCACTCCTGAATCCGGCCCTGGGCAGTGACAAACATAATCTATTTTTTTTCTGGTAAGTACGGTGTCAGTGGTTGTCTTAAGGTTTGAGAGGCCCTTCAGGTGTGGCCTTTGGACCCCCTTACAACTGTCCACAGTTTGCAATTTCAAATTCTGTCATTACTAAGGAATAATGAAGTCTCGGGTGCAATCTAAGATTGAGAGAAAACGGAGAACTCAGGCTCCCTGAAGCGATGAGAAAACGAACTCCTCAGACAGGGGGACTCAAAGAAAGGCAGAGCTATATGTTTTGGGGCCTATTGAACGTAATATACTTTACTTTTGCTTTTATCCTCTTCGCCACTGATCGGCTCGTTAGCCGCTTGGGCGATCGGTCACGCCTCTGATTACTTTTCCTTTTCATTTATCCTATTCACCAAGAGATCGGCTCGCTCGCCGCCCTGGCGATCGGTCACGTCTCTGTCACGCGCTCTTGGCAAGTACTGGGCATGCACCGGCTCCTGAATGTACCTAAACCCGCTCCAGTGTTGGTCAAGTCTTGTCTTGAAAGAGCTCACACTCGGTGCCGTCACAACACTCTCTGGTAGATTGTTCCAAGAGTTTACAACCCTCACTCCGAAAAAGTTTGCCCTCACAGTTTTCTGGACTTGCGGCTTCTTCAATCTTGAGCTGTGACCCCTTGTGGGGCGAGCGTCCGCCAGCTCCAAGTAAGGACACTCAACTGAGCAGTGCCCCCTGAGATGCTTATACACCTCAACTAGGTCACCCCTTGCCCGTCTGTAGCATAAGCTAGGCAAGTTCAGGCGCTCCAATCTCTCACGGTAGCTGAAGTGCCGAAGTGCAGGCACCAGTCTGGTGGCCCTCCTTTGAGCATTTTCAACCAACTGACAGTCCCTAGCATATCTCGGGGACCAGACGGGGTGACAGTACTCCAGATGGGGAAGCACTTCACTCTTGAAAATCATTACAAGGGACGGACCATCTAGTTATATGAACGACCTTCTTGTAAGACTCAATAATTTATTGGCCTGATTTACCTTCTTCTCGCAATGGCCCGAGAACCTCAGCTCATTATCAACATACACACCTAGTATAAGGGCCGTGCCTCTTATAACATTTTTCTTTACTTTAATACTTACAACCATTGGTAGCGTGACGAGAGGAGGCTCGTGGGTATATGTAATGATAGTATCAAGTAATAGGGAAGAAATAACGGTAGATACTGTAGGTAAATAATAGACACAATATACCAATACAAAATTTATTTAAACATTAATATGGAGGTAGGGGAAAGAATATATATACCAACAGACGAAACCTGGTACTATGCCCTCAGGCTCAACATACTCACACCACTACTGGGTGGACATACTCAATAACACAAACTCTTACAGTAACTTAGCACCATTAAGACCAGGGGCAACTGCCACTACAACACTCAGTCGTCAGGAGTGATACTCAAGCTCCCGCCATGGGGCCCAGCCACCATGGGGTATTTTCCAACGAACTCTGAAGATCCCAGTGGAATAACTCCACCACACAAATAGCCCTACTGAGTTAGACACTCAGCCACCAATGATGGGGGCTGGTAGTGGTGTGTGATTGGTGATCCGGGGTCACCTCGCAGGCCGAGCGTTAGGGTCAGACGAGCCAGCTATGGGGCCCATAGGTAGTCTGAAGTGTCTGACGGTCGGGTTTCACGAAGGTAACTGATCCTTCTGGACCTCGGACATCTCCCCAGACATAGTGGATACAACATCCACGCTACAGACACGGCCTAGGCTGCGTTAGGGACCTGTATGGGTGAAGGGGCGAGCACTTACTAACGGTTGAAATGCCCGCGGCACCTTCACTCAAAATAGGTCAGGGAGTCCACTTCTATTTCGATGAATTAATTTACTGTACACTCTGACGTTGAAACTGAGACTATGAACTCAGCTTCATTCCCTACTATTATCTTCACTAACAATGCTCTGCGTGAGCTATCAGAAGCAAAATTAAATTGATTACAACGGGTTGGATGGCAACAGGGCCTTACATACAGCGTCTTGCTACGAAATCCGCGGATTATATTCAAAGTTCCCTTTAGACAAAGACGGCCTATCGATGACGTCATCAAGGAAACAGAGAAAACGGGGACGTTTCCACTGGGGGACTCAGAAGGTTTTGTGGACGTTTGAGCGTAATATGAATCCTTAAGGTTTTTAGGTTAGCCGTCATCACGATCATGACACTAGGTCCTTCTCACATTCAGTCTCAAATAGTGCAGTTTCTTCATCCTGTTGGTGCGGCCCAGGTACATCCTCTTACACTTCGTGACATTGAATCTCAGCAGCCATTTCTTCGACCATTCTTAGAGCCCACAGAGGTCCTTCTGCAGCGCTTCACAGTCTGCTTGGTTCTTGATTTCCCGAAATAACTTGGCGTCATCGGCAAACATTTGTATGGAGGAGTGTACAACGTCAGGCATGTCATTTATGAAACAAACAAACAACAGCGGGCCCAACACACTGCCCTGTGGTAACCCGCTTGTAACAGGTACGGATGCACTAGCGTAGCTAGGGGGGGGCCCCGGGCGGCACTTTGGGGGCGGCACTTTTGGGTCTGCTCATCACCCATATCTGCAGCTACTGGAGACGTTAATCCATCCCTTTGTATCGGCGGCAAGTTAATCCTTGTCGTGTCTGACCTAACACCTGACCCACATCATCACGGCCACGTCATGAGCTACACCCTTGCTATGCGCCCCCCGCCACACACACAACCTGTAACCTGTTGAGGATTCAGGAAACTTATAAAGTTTAAGTATGTTTGGTGTGTATTTAAAGCATACTATATTTGAGTATGTGAAAGTACAGTAATATTATAATGGTACGCAAACTATTTAATATATATATATATACATATATATATATATATATATATATATATATATATATATATATATATATATATATATATATATATGAGTGAGTCACTGTGCAATATGTATTTTTGTGGGGGCACGGGGGGCAAACTCAAGGGCCGCCCCGGGCGGCACACACACTCTAGCTACGCCACTGTGTAACGGATGATGATTTCATGCCATTAATCACTACACACTGCTTGACGATTCGATTCGTGAAGGCTATTCTATTCAACGCTCTCAAACAGAAAAGACCTTCTCTCAACAAGATTCTCACCACACAGCAACTCCCTAACACTGCATTGTACATACAATATATATATATATATATATAAATATATATATACGAAGTTATATTCGTGTTTTCTTCTTTCCTTTTGGTATATAGCATATACCTAGATCACTGCACCTACAGTGATTTATTTGTATATATATATATATATATATATATATATATATATATATATATATATATATATATATATATATATATATATATATACGCCATTGTGAGTTTCCTTGTCACCTCCATCCTTAGTGCGAGATCTCCTACATGAGCCTGACAAATAGAAAATAGCCTAAACACAAAGAGAAATTTGCCAACTGGCCCCATACAACACACTACAGGCTGGCTGTACTGCACACATTTTCTTGCCCCCCCCCCTCTTTTTGATACTCCTGGACCCTCTCCAGCACCAGGTGGTGACGTCGACGGGTCATGTATTACAAGTCGTATATAGAGAAAGGAAAACAATAACCAATCATAAGTAGGTGAAGTCGGGGTGAATGAAATTTTAAATGACTCACGTGGGATTGACACAAAAAAGGTTTAAATTAAGAAACACTGGTGTAGGGTGAGTGTAGTGTACCCTGGGCCCAACAGATGGCGGCCACTGACACCAACACACTGAGTCTCAACTGTCATAAACCTCTGTGTTAAACTATATTAACCTCATCAGTTTATTACACATGAAAATGAAGAATGGGCCATAAATCAGAAAGTATCAATATGTATGTTATTATATACAAATCTAAACATTCATTAGTTGTTTAGCAGGACGGAGTTACAAGTGAAAGAAGGAGTTAATGCACAGAACCGAACAGACTACCATAGAAAGCTGTTAGAGGAGTGGAACTGTCAAGTGTTAAGGTCACAGATCACCTTCATCATGACGTGAGTAGATCATGAGTCATTTCTTTGCCATCCATATGTTGTAAGTCACATACTGTTGGCTGTTACTTTAGCCTCTTGACCTTCAGAAGACTAAGGAAGTATGGACGGCCAGGTCTTGCTGAGTGACCCTGGTGTCTCCTGAAGTAACATTGTTGTCTCCTGAAGTAACATTGTTGTCTCCTGAAGTAACATTGTTGTCTCCTGAAGTAAATAGGTGTTTATTTGGTAAAGGTGTAGACAATGGTCACCACCAGAAGTTGTTTGTTGATTTTCTTTATTTTTTCTTAGCCTTGTTGTTTTGATGCTTTTAAGTATATTAAAAGAAACGACAACTTTATATGATGATCTTAGGTATTTTTTAAGAATTTTTTTCATTTACCTCTATGATCATAAATTCCTTGTTAGTGGGCAGGGCATGAAGGATGTGGGAAATTTCTGGTTAAAAACACTGTGAACACTGATGTCATGGCACTAAAATTATGTCTCAAGGTGTATTATAACACTAAAATCATTTTCTTACCTTTAATGAGTCCCGCGTTACAATTTTCCTGCTTCTCCATTGATCGTTGTTGACACCCCGTATAAATTCTGTACCATTAATCCTGATCCTTTAAATAAAATTAATGTGCATATTTATGAACTTTACATTACGTTAATACCGGTCTATTGTTCTTTTGTTTAGTTATTTAATGCATTCTCTCTTTATATCTATATAGAACCAATAATTGATGTAAGTGTGTCATATTTTTACTTTTACAGGATCTTTTAGACTGATTCCATTCTCTTCTAATTATTTTGGATACCATTAACCCTCGAAACAATCCTCTATTAACTGCGTCTCCTCACATCCTCACTGTGATGAAGTGCGTAGGTTGTGATTATTCTGTTGATGATTTATCAGACATAGTTCTTGATGAATCTCGCTTGATATCTTTCATTTGTGACTATGGGTTAATTAAGAGCACTTGCAAATGTCCAAAATGCGGAAGACTTACATATTACGAAAAACAACAACTTTCAATGTAATGCGCGATCCTACGAATATGTCCACAGATGCCGTAAAATTATATAAAAATAATTAATAAAAAAATTATGCATAGAACGTAATAAAACCTGACCTAACACACCCAACCTATGGGTATGTTAGGTCAGATTCTATTAGGTTCTATGTATTGTCCTTTCCATTTTTGTTATTAATATCATAATATCAGTGTGTAAAAAACATTTCAACCAATTCCAACAATTCCTTCTGGTGGTAGCCATTGTCTACACCTTTACCGTTTATTTTTCTTCTATATTTATTATCGGAACTTTGGTTGTCATTGTGGAAGAGAATTGTACACACCCTCGAACACAGCCACGTGATAGATCACCTTTTACTGTACCACTGCCAGGTATGTTTGTTGTAATAATAATACTATAGGTAAATTTACATAAGTGGGCCCAACTCAATTTCTTAATTAAAACATGTTTTTTCACATAGTTCCGACTATTCTAAGATACTTTTCTTCTATGGCATTTCCTTCGGAAATTTATATTTTTCAAGTATTGTATTTGCTAAAATTACCAACAGTATTACTTGTTTAAAGCTGAGGGAAAATGTAAGGTAAAATACTAAAAATAACACCAAACAAACCTTTGAAATCCTGATCTAATGTTTCCTAACTTGTAAAAATCTTAAGACTCACTTTAGAGTTTATGGATCCTTCCTCATCTGTACACTGAAAACAACACATACTGGAAACCAAAAACAACGCCATCACCTACTAAACACCGAAAACATGAATAAGGTAAACGTTGATAAATGTATACTTAACTGCTGCGAGTGATTTCGCCAAGAAAAAAAAATCATTAATGCATGACTTTTGCTGCTTTTTTTATTGGAGATGTTATTTTCAGGAGGAAAAAAAATAATATTTTCCTTATTTAACCTAACCTAACCTAATGTATTCTCCTATTGGGGAAACGCTATATTTTCAGAGTAGGGTCATCTATTATATAGCATGGTAATGCGATTCAGACAACCCGCGCACTACGCACTCCCCCTTCCATGGCTCGCCGATGGTATTATAATATAAATTATAAAAAATAAACACTTCCTCAAATGAGAACCCCGTCACTCGCAATTAACAACAAAAATTATGGTGGAAAAGCAGTGTGTACTTGCTGGAATCGTTGGCAGCATTAATCTACACGTTAAACTAAACTTTTTATAGTTTTAGGTATATAGTGCACGTAGGCTGTGGGAGTATATGGTACAGTTTCCTGTGTGCATAGACAATGCAGGTAAATGACAATGGTAAACAGTAAGGCAACTTGACCAAGGATAGCTGACAAAGCTGTCGTGGGTTAATATTGACGAGTAACCTGCCGACGCATTATTTGTTTTGATTTCTATTTTCTTACTGTCAATATTTAGAAGTTGCCACCACCAAACTGAATATTGAGTCATATATGGGGAGATAGAGAAAAAAATATTTATGCTATAATGTTTCCGTCGGAAATTTATAGTTTTTGAGTTATTTTAACTTTTATTTAAAATATTTGGCCAATCTAATTGACTTTAGAATGACTGGCAAGTGTAGAAGTGAGAGTGCTGGTGGTGCTCAGAAGAAAAGGAGACAGTCAATTACTTTTGAGACGAAAATGAAGATAATAATGCAGCATGAAAATGTAAAAACTGTAGCAACAATTTCACGCAACTTAGGCTTCTCGCTCTCGACCATATCCACTATTTTGAAGGACAAGGAAGGTATTCGTGATGTAGTGAAAGGAACAACACCTATAAAGGGAACTATAATATCGAAGAAAAGACAAGGTCCCATTCATGAGATGGAAAAATTACTTGTGATATGGATGGAAGACCAGATGCAGAAGCGTGTACCCTTAAGCCTTCTAACCTTACAGGCTAAGGCAAGAAGCCTGCTCGAAAGCCTGAAAGAGCAGGCAGGAGATGAGTACGATCAAACCTTGACAGCAAGTCATGGGTGGTTTCAAAGGTTTAAGAAAAGCTACAGTTTGCATAGTGTAAAGGCGAGTGGAGAGGCAGCAAGTGCTGATGTTGGTGTTGCCGAAGCTTTTTTAGGAGGAGCTAGATCGTGTCATCGTGGAGGGAAATTATTTGCCTGAGCAAATATTCAGTGTGGATGAAACTGGCTTATTATGGAAGCGCATGCCTGAATGGACATACATCCACAAAGAGGCAAAAGCAATGCCGGGATTCAAGGCATTCAAGGGCCGACTCACACTTCTGTTGGGGGGGAATGTAGCTGGTTTCAAGATAAAGCCCTTCATGATATATAATTCAGAGAACCCAAGGGCTTTTAAACATGTCAGCAAACACACACTGCCAGTGTTTTATTGCAGTAACAAGAAAACATGGATGACCCTAGTACTGTTTGAGGATTGGTTCATGACTTGTTTCATTCCACGAACCAAGGAGTATTGTCTGCAACAAGGGATTTCATTCAAGATTTTGTTAATTTTGGATAATGCTCCGGGACACCCACCACACCTGGACGACATGCACCCTGCTGTTAAGGTAGTCTACATTCCACCTAACACTACCTCTATCATCCAATCCATGGATCAAGGTGCTATTGCTGCTTTTAAAGTGAATTATTTACATACGACCTTCGCTCAGGCTGTTGCTGCTACTGAAGGTGAGAAAACGCTCAGAGTTTTTACGCCGGGACTCGAAAATACGTAATTTGGAAAAAATTTTGTATGTACTGCGGCGGTCGTATGTTCGGGTGGTCGTAAGTCGAGGAGTACCTGTACTTGGTTAGTGCTGTCTTTTGCCTTCCTTCTGAAAATTTTATTATGATTTATTTAATGCACTAAATGTATATATTTCGTTAATAATTTGGTTGTGCAATACATGATTACATTTTTCAGGTGAGCAACATGTCATGAACTAACTGAATTTGCTCAAGAAAAGAAAATCTATAGCCAAAGAAGAGGAAACAGATTTAATTATAGTTCACATCAGTTCAAGTATGTCTACCAACACTACTATTGATACTAGTGGCTGTGGGAAAGATGCATTGACAAATAGTTATGGCTGGTTTGTGCAAGCACTGCTAGCTTCTTTAGCATTTGGTCTTCTGGTTTGTAAGTAAAAATGTTACTTAGTTTTGTTACTGAACTTTACTAGCAATTGTTTAATTAAAATTTTATCATGTTGATACTGGTTTCATTGTACAGTCTTGTTCAAGATTCTCCGAACCCTGCTGGGGACAGCTGGCAAATCAATGCTGTTTGTTTACTATAATATGTAGTAAAAATTATGAATGAATGTAAAAGTGATCGGTGATTGGTTACTTAGTTCCCCATTGCTTAATTAATTGTTGGACTTTGCTGTTTCGTATTATATTATACTTCGTACTATTGTAAACAAGCGGCCTGGAGTTGCCAGTTGTCTCCAGCAGTGTTCGAAGAATCTTGAATGAGACTGTACAACAGGTCCCAGTTTTATAATACATTATTATTAACCACTAAATATAAAAGCCTTTATAAGTTGTAATGAGCAGTACTGCAGTGTTAAATGGGTAACAAAGTTCCAAATTTACTCTTGATCTGATATTATGTGGTACAGTATATCAGTGTACTGTAACTGCTTATCAGTTACCAGATCTACCTTAATACAGTACAGTTTGAAGTGTACAAGCACAGTATTTCAAATTCCTCCTGTAAAAGAAGCTTGAGTTGGTTTCTCTTGATTTTTATTTTGCACTTAAACTAATATTGTCCAATGAATTATTGTTTATTAGCTTATTACAAACGAACAAACAGACAAAAGAGGCTGGTCAAAACTGAACGAAATCATCACTTAAAATGACAGTGCAATATTGTCCAGCGCTTGATTAATCTGTTTGTATATATGGTTTGTCCTCCTCTGCCACTTTTGTGTGATATGGATCAAGGGTAAAGAGACTTGTAAAGAAAGTGGAGAAGTGCTGTGTGAGAGAGACCAGGAAGGACTGATATAACATAAACATATCCAAAGCTTGTATACCGGTACCTTATAAATTTTTTTACTGTACTTGTTCAGTGAAACGATTCTGTGAGCCGAAGAAGCATCGAAGGTCGTGGCTGGTGTGGTTCTATGACACTTCCAAGCAAGGTTTAGGAGCCATGATTGTTCATTTTTGCAACGTCTTTCTCTCAGAAGCATTCAGAGGGGATCCATGTACTTGGTAAGTTAAATATCCTGCTATGTACTGTATATGAATATACTGTATAGGAGAACTGACTGCAGTATAAATTTAATTTACAATTTTTGGTTAGTTTTATTGATGTACCGGTAAGTCTGTTTCATGTGCAGTGAACAAATTATAACATCTTGGTCATTCTTATCTCTAGCATATCTGCCCTCCATATTATTTTTGTGTTCTAAGGCTTCTGCTAAAATTATTTTATTTGAGGATGACTTTCAAGTAATTGGCCTGCAGCCAAAGTGTTCATAATCAATATTGATATCAAGTCCACTTTAAAAGGAAAAAATAAATATTAATATTGAAATCATACTTTTTTTTGTATACAGTATAGTCTGCATTTACGCGGTCAATTGAACCCGTGGAGGTCCGCTTAAAACGAGAAACGCATAAACGAAATAACAGAACATATTGGATTAATTGAAATAGAGACTGGGCCGACTCCCAAACTCCACTTTTCCCGACACAGTACGTACGTTGTAGCAAAAATAACATCTTAATTTTATGATGGTATGCACACACAATTAATATTTAAGAGAAATATCAATAATATTAGGTTTTATAACACTTACGTAAGTAGAAAAGATGGCTGGGCGCACGGGGATGGGGGGTTGGTTCCGAGGCAGAGAGCAGATTATTGGCCCTCACCTGTATCAATTGTATCACTATCCACCACACAGGCTTGCAGGGCCTCTTTGTGAAACCCCTCAAAGTCCATATCCTCACTATCACTGACTTGGGCTGGCTGTGGTGGGTGGTCCCATGGTGGAAAGTGAGACTTTTTTTATTTAATTTTTTATTTATTTTTTAAATCCATTTGTCCTCTCCGTTAGACTTGTCCTCTCCTTTAGTTGTAGGGTGGTGAAGCATCAGCTGTTTTAAGTTTGTTTTAGTAGGATGTGGTTGTTTTTTTATATAAGGGATATCCACTAATTGTCAAACAGTGCTGAATGGCCTTATGGTTCCAGTGCTTGGCCTTGAGCCTAAATTCCATAAATCAATCAATCAAGCAATTATTTATTCTGTCCTTTAATTGGTTTTGTTGGACTACTACCATTGGGGATAGGAAGGTGAGTATAGCACTGAAGAGCTGATTGGTATTTTGTATTCCTCTTTTTTAGCTGGCTGTATTATAGAGAGTTGCCTGATCCTGTCTTAAGGTTGTAGGTAGTGGGATGGTCCGGAGAGTCCATTTTAAAGTTGAGTTATAATCAAGCAGCACTGCATCCTTCCCTTCTTTTTAGGTGCTGAGGTTTGCTGGATCTGAAGTGGAAACCATGATGATGTCAACTTATAGCCAATAACAAACAAATAATAAAATGGAATTTAAATTTCTAATCTCTACAAAAACACCTTTATAGCCTTAGGTCCTTCTTTAAGGTGCCATCATCCCACATCTTAAAGTATTCCAGTTTAAAGGTGAAGACAGTTTTTTTATTTGAATTTTAAATTCCAGCGAAACAAATTGGGGTCTTAGGGCATGGTAATTCAACTCTGTAGACCTGCTAGGTGATAAATATTTGCTCAGTCCCATTCAGATATAAAATAGGATCTTAAGATCAATCCATCATTTCATGTGGGTCTGATTTCTAAGATGTATATGTATTCATGTTATACTTCCAAATATGTGACATTACATTATTCTGTTTTATTTACAGGTACATCATTAGCTTTTTACTTGACTCAACGCTTGGCTTGGTTGTCATCTGGGCTGGGATTAGACTCAGTATATATGTTGGCCAGAAGCAGGGTATCCCCACCATTATCTTTGGGGAGTATGGTAAGTACAGTACATGGCAACTCTCTCTCTCTCTCTCTCTCTCTCTCTCTCTCTCTCTCTGAAAAACTTTTGTAAGGATTAAATAAAAATAATACCAATAAATAAGTTACAACAAAAAATACTGTACTGTATTATTAAAACTGTAAATGAAAGTTCAACACAATCCCCATTTGCATACACTTCCTGCAACACAGATCAACAGGGACTCAACCTCCTCACACTCCCAAGCAATGCTCCCCCTGCACTCTGCTCCCTAAAAAAATTATTATAAATGAATAAAAATAATAATAATAATAATTTTTAATAGGCATAAATGAATACAAAAAGAAAAACCAGAATGAGCAATGATATATGTATGTTGTGTTGTCAATAGTATGAGGAACAATTGAGACCCTGCAATTTTTGTGGTGCCATATGGCAGCAGGGTCTACCATTAGACAACACAATATGCCTCCAATATCTTTTTTTTCACAATATGTACTGGATGTAGTAGGATGGTGTGTGCATGTAATTGTGTAAAAATAAATAAATGAAGTTATGTATATCTACCCGAAAATACAAGTTGGAAAACAACCCTAACACCTCACAGCTTGGCCCAGTAGCCCGGTGGTTACAGTGACGAGTCTAACTTGGCTACAATGCCGCCAGTGATGTTAGCAGACGCAAATGGAAAAAGAAGGTTTCTGTAACTGTAAATCTTCATTTATATCAGGTAATTGTAGATTTAAAAATAAATGTTGCAGGTATGACATTAATAGATAGTAATGCTTGTAAGAGTTCAGAAATGGTTACTGCTTAGCTCTGAAGAGTTGGGTGCCTGCCATACTGATGTTAATTGTCTCAGGTTATCATCATCAGTACAGTACACTACAGGTGGTCCCCGACTTACGAATGCCCGCCGGTATGAACGTGGTTAAATTTGAAATTTTCGGTATTTTGTATTTACCTCATGACTTATTTTTTTACTTTAAGTTACTGTATTTTGTCATTGTTTCTTCTTTTGTCTTAAATCAGGTGATTTTAGATGTGCTGTATACAGTATAAGGACTTAGGCTATGATATAGTGGGATTTTAAACATTGTTCTGTACGTACGGTACGCACATTGCATGTGTTACGACTTATGTACAACTCCAACTTAAGAACGTCCTCAGGAACGGAATCCGTTCATAACCCGGGGATCCAGCTTTTATATTTGCAATAGTTAGTTTTTTAATTATTTAAAAATAAAAATAATGTCTGTAAGTAAACCACGTGTACTGAGCAGGGGAGGGGCTTTGGGTTGTGTGCCTCTGCCAACTGACCCTTAGCAACAGATGCTAAGGGTCGGTCGGCAGAGGTAACACATCCCACTGCGATATAGTGTGCGCACTTATCTTGTACTGTATAATTTTAGCTTTTTTATGCTTCCATTATTTTTCATAAATATTCTCTGCTGAAATCAACTTGACAATCAGTGACAAAGAGGATAAAGTAAACTTACAGCAGAGGTGGTTGTGTGGTGCACATTTAAACTGAAACAGGCCTAACCAACCAAGTTGCCAGATGCGCTATTGACAAACTGCCCACTGCTTCCTCATTTACCATCACCTCCCACACAGAATACACTCCCATGATCTTCATATTTCTTCTTTTATAGTTTTATATTATATTTTCTTTATTTCTAAGTCACATTAGAGTATTGAAATGATTTTTCCACAACTTTTATAGTTTCATTACATGTAACAATGTCAGCCAACTGACTACTGGTGCGGCTCTCAGAAAAATTGACTTCTTTAACAATTATTCTCCTCTATATAAACGATGTGGCTTAGAAACAAAGAAAATATAATATAAAACTATAAAATAAGAAAACAAGAGGAGCATGGGCATGTATGCGTGAGAAGTGAACATGTATGGAGGCGGTTCTAGCCAAGGCTTTGGCAATAAACTATGTGGCTGACGCACCAACTCAGGAGCCTCGTATATTGTTACTTGTAATAAAACTATAAAAGTTGTGAAAAAATTAATTACAATACTCTAATGTGGCTTAGAAATATGGAGAATATAATATAGAATTATAAAATAAGAAAAATAAAGAGTATATGTGGGAAGTAAATGTGCTATGAGGCAGCGGGTCACTGGGCTATAAATGTATCATGGCAAACACACTCACCACAGTTGCCGCCACACATCTGAGTCTGCTGAGCTGGGTGATTGCCTGAACTATTTTTTTTTTTTTTTTTTTTTTATTCTTTCACCACTGATTGGCCTGTTACCCGCTTGGGCAATCGGTCACGTCTCTGTTATTTTTCCTTTCTTTTATCCTCTTCACCAAATGATCGTCTCGTTACCGCTTTGGCGAACGGTCACGTCTCTGTTACGCACTGTTGTGTTGTGTACGGGGTCCTCTCTGTACAGAATAACATCATCTGGCATTACCCATATGAAATATTAAAAGTGGCATCCCCACAGTGAAGTGGTTAACGTGAGCTTACCTACTGTACCCCTAGATTCTGTCTTTATGTTGTTTCATGAACCTTTATTGGACCATTCAATACATATGAGACATCACTGGGACGATGTAGTTGTGTCAAGGCTATCGTTATGTTTTGCTAGATTTACGTAATCATTGGACACAACCGGGAACAGACTTTGTCTTTCACTGTACACCAAAAATTTTCATTATAAACCTGTTAATGATATTTTGACATGTTTGAGGATATATTTTTTTCCCTTATATGTACATACCTGTGTTGAAGCTTTTATAATGGATGGTTTTTGGAAAATGACATCTGATTTATGGAAATTTATGTTGTATTACTCTGCAGGTCGGCCTCCATCTGTGCGAGCATGGGGTCATCAGTGTGCCCTATATGTGGGCATCATGGTGGTGGAGAAGGTCCTTATCACAGGGCTTTTAGCTTTCCAGTTTTGGTCCAGCATAAGGGACCTCATCTTGGCTCCTATTACTGACCAACAAGTTCGAGTAGTCATCGTTGTTCTAGTCATTCCTTTCTTTATTAATGTAAGTATAATTAGACCTCAGTCTTCCATTTTATACCTAGTCACTGATTATTTTTCTAATATGCTCTTTATCAGCCATTTTCAGTTATATACATCATTTCTTTTACTTTGCATTGGAAAAAGCAGTTTTTTTTTTCTAAAAAAATATGCTGTACAGTGAATATACATTAATGTAATAGCAGGTTGACAATCCCATATCCGAAATCCTTGGGGCCAGATGTGTTTCGGATTTCGGAAGTTTTCGGATTTGAGAATGACTAGGTTAGGTTAGGGTTTTTTTTTTTTTTTTTTTTTTTTTTAAGGGATTAGCCCACCCGCGCACAGGTCACCAACCCACATCAGGGCCTGGGGGGCGAAAATGTAATAATAATAATTCATAGGTCCTGGTCGTGTTTCTCACATTTGATATTTTTTTCATTCTTGCATTTCTTTTTTATTATTATTATTATTATTATTATTATTATTATTATATATTATTATTATTATTATTATTATTATTATTATTATTATATATTATTATTATTATTATTACTACTACTACATTACTACATTTTCTCCCTCCAGGCCCCAATGTGGGTCAGTGACCTGTGCCCAGGTGGGCTGATCCCTGGTAAAAAAAAATAAATAAATAAATAAATAAAAAACAATGGGGGGGAGGGGGGTGGGGGTGTGTGATGCTCCACGAAAAAACTTTTGGTTTTCAGAGGTTTTCGGAATTTCGGATAAGGGATTGTCAACCTGGTAATTGTCTTTGTAAATATAGACCATTTATATAACCTGCTGATTTTCAGTGAGTGATGTTAAGATCACTCACTAGAATATTCAATGTTAATGTCTGCCATGTTCATAGGTTTAAGATCCTAGCCCTGTGCTTGCTTCAAGACCCAGCAAGATTGATTTTTGGTACACTTGATTTACATCCTGAGATAGCTTTACTCTTGTCCCATAGCACTCACCTATATATATAGGATGGAGGCCTTTGACCATCAAATTTTCCTGCAGCAAGTTACACTATCTTTATCCTTCTCTCGAGAACTATACAAATTTTCTAATGAATCATCCTTAGTTAGATATCTGTTAAGGCTTGTTTGTGTGCTCATTAAACTAAACTTTTGCTAAAAAAAAAACTGCTGAAATATACAGGTGTAGTGCAGGAAAACCTTTGTTCTTAATTTTTTTTAATATGTATCACTCGTGTAATAACGAACCAAAATAAACCACAACAGCAGACAGATGCAATTCATCTTTGATAATAAATGTTTGTACTTGGTTTTGGATAAGTCAGTTCTGCTATAATGCCATAGTTGTGTTCTTGTAAAACATCGTGTTATAGAAATTCGCGTAATAGAAATAACAGGGCTTATGGAGAAAATAGGGTTAGGTGCAGATTACTACTCGAAATTGAATAAAAATTATTTGCGGATTTGGTGATTCGCGGCCATTTTGAGAACCTGGCCCCCGCGAATTTGGGGGCCCCCTGTATGTTCATGTCTGACTAATTGTTAAATCATTCCAAGAATAGGTTAAGTTGGTCAGTGACCACATTTTTGATTGGAGACAACTTTGAAATTCATCCATATATCCTAAATTTAATTTACCCCCTCCCCCACAGAAATAGATTGTTACATTGTAAAATACAGTCAAACAATCAGCAGGTCGAGACCTGTTTCACCCCGGGAGATGTATGTTTGTCTGTTCCTTTTGAATATTTGCTCATAATCTTAGATTTAATTTAGCATTCTGTACCTGATTTTGTGCACTTATAGTGATTTTATTCATTATTACTGAATTGTAGATGTTTGTATTTTATCTCTGAGAACTTGAAAAGATTAATAAGCACCTTACTGTAGATAACTTGGTGCTTAGTGCAAGCCACTTGTGTTATATCTTTTAATTTTGTGTCTTTGGAATGTTGTGAGTCTTACTTGTTTTGACAGTTATTGCTTCCCAGAAGAAATCAAACTAGAATTCTATTTTCCTTCTTTGGGTCCAGGCAAGAAAGAGGCTCATATAATTAAAAAAGAATGAAGATGCAATAAAACTTCTGTTATACAACCCCAGGGCTTGGGATCCTGGGGCTGTGGTCCATCACCACCCCAAAATGAACTCAGACCTAGGGTGTGTTACTAGTGGTCACCAGCCAAACACTTTTGATGTGTCACATTAATGTTGGTCTTATGATTTTGTTTATAAATGATTCCCATCATTTCCCTATTACTATACTGTATATTGTTTATACTAAAAATGGTAAATCAAGTACCAAACACCATTATAATGTAAGTTTGGAGATGGCTGCAAGTAGTATCTATGGATTTTTTTAAATTTCCTGCTATTGTTCTTCATATACCAATGTTTATATATTTATGGTTTTAAAGCAGTCATTTCCTCACCAATAAATAAAACTACATGTATGTTATGTGCCACCAGCACAGTGATCAGAATCATTATATTATAAAAACATAACATACTGTATAATTAAGGTAAGTTTTTAAAGGACTTTACTAAATATTTAAACTAGTGTGTTTGGACCTGAGTGTACTTGGGAAAAGTCTGGTGCATGATTCACACTGTATGACACACCAGGTGATATCAATATAGATTTTTGATGAATATTTTACAGTGCATTACTCATCCACTCATCACCAGAAAGCAAGTTGAAAATAGCTTATAACTGTACTCCAAAGTGGGGTTTGTTTAAAAGAAGCAACTTCTTCAATGAAAGTAAATTTGAATTTTATTGACTAGGCTCTCATCTTCTGGGTGACCGACAACTTCTTGATGTTGAAGGTAAGACAAGCAGTCAGAGATGAAGAGAATGCCTTATCAGATGGGTCGTCTGGCTCAAGAGGATATTCCAAGGTAAGATAACATTTACCAGGTAACAAATTGAAATTAGATCTTATAAATACTCAAAGCTTAAGGACATTTATGAAAAGAACAATAATATTCAATTAGAATCTTTAAAACTCATCCCGCTTCTCTGTTACTCCCAGAACTTTCCAACATCCTGCTTCTCTGTTATTCCCAGAGCTCTCCAACATCCTGCTTCTCTGTTATTCCCAGAGCTCTTCAACATCCTGCTTCTCTGTTACTCCCAGAACTTTCCAACATCCTGCTTCTCTGTTATTCCCAGAGCTCTTCAACATCCTGCTTCTCTGTTATTCCCAGAGCTCTCCAACATCCTGCTTCTCTGTTATTCCCAGAACTCTCCAACATCCTGCTTCTCTGTTATTCCCAGAGCTCTCCAACATCCTGCTTCTCTGTTATTCCCAGAACTCTCCAACATCCTGCTTCTCTGTTATTCCCAGAGCTCTTTAACATCCTGCTTCTCTGTTATTCCCAGAACTCTCCAACATCCTGCTTCTCTGTTATCCCCAGAACTCTCCAACATCCTGCTTCTCTGTTATTCCCAGAGCTCTTCAACATCCTGCTATTTTTCTTTTAGAATTCTCCATCATTCTTCTTCTCTTTAGTTCCCAGAATGCTGTGATTTACAAAGAAAGAAAGCTGATGTATTAATGGTATGCAATTTATTACAGTATACCTGTATATATCCATAAAAGAACATTGGTGAACTTATTAAGGCTTAACACTAATAATATTCATATTCAACATAGTAGTATTTTAAGTTTTTGTGTCAAAGAGTGTATGGCTAAATCGAATTTAAGGAGTGTCCTTTAGTGGAGAAGATAATAAATTTGAGTTAAGTAAGCCTGATCATATGACTACCTGTGGTTAGGTTAGGTTATAGTAAGTTTAGTTAAGTTTGTGTTTGGCTAAATTTAAAACTGATTTGCTTAACCATGAAATTTTTTGGCCAAAATATTCAAGCTGTGTATAGTACATTACTAGGTTAATTGCAACTAGTCATAATATACCGCCTCTAATTTCATACCTGGAGAATTATCACTCAATCTTTTGAGGAGAGAGTCAGTTTATTTTATTTTTCTTCTTCACAATGCTATCAATATCTTTAAACTTGTATATCTTATGATAAAAGTTATTGTAAGCATTGTAAATGCTCCTCATAACCTCAGGTTCAGTAAATATATAATTATTGGATGCTTTCCCTGTTAGCAAGATTGACAATGTTAAAAAAGTTCCATGAACAAGGTTCTTAACCCTAAACCACGGTGGCATATATGTCAATGAACCATACACTCCAAAGGCCAAAATTTAAGGATTTTTAAAAATAATCCAATAAAACTTATAAGTTGGGATTGGACATATAATATGACATAGATAATGGAAAAATTATAAGAATATTTTATCCTCACTCGTTATTGGATCCTCTACCTGCCTCTGATATGAAAACAGTAATAAGAGCTGCCATCTGCTGGAGTTGGAAATGCAGGTGGGATGCTGTCAGAGCAAACAAGCTCCGTGACATCCACCCTGCTTTGGGTGCCTAGGGATATGAGGGACTGTCATGCCGCCGAGAGACTGCTTTAGCCTGCTTCTGCATTGGCCACACACTGCTGACTCATTGTGGTGACTGCCTATCCCATTGACTATTCAATACCTCCTAGTGGAATGCCCCAGTCTCAGAGATCTTCAGTGTAACCACCTCTCCCAGTGCCGGGGATAAGATGGGTCTTACCGTTTCTTTTTGGTGTTGGGGGGAGGAGTGGATAATATGGGAGGAAGACAGCCTTCTACACAAGCTTTGAGTTTTATTTATTAACATTTAAATGGTTTTATGAAAGTTACAGTAGAACCTCAATAAATCGGTCTAATTGCGGCAGACCCCAGTCCGAAAAATGTGAAAGTCTGAGAAAAGCAAATACACTGATATCCCGGTTAGCCAGAACAGTTGGTGCAAAGCACTTCCGGGGATGAGAGGTTTCCGGCCAACCAGACGACTTTCTCAAACCCGGAATCTTTTCTGGTTACTGGGAAAAGTTTCTGAGTGTCTAAACTAGACATCTTGCACACACAGACACTAGCCCACTTCCCCAGAATGTTTCTGGGTGCTGGGGATGTTTTCCTTGAGTCTAACTACCGGAGTCTGTAAATGCAGTTCTAATTAAGTTAGAAACTCCATTTCCTTTCTATAATAATCCAGAATAGTTTATCTAAAAGTTTGATAAAATAAATATATTTGAAAATTAAAAATCTTTATGATATGGGAGTGAGTGAAGTTATGTGTTACAGCAAAGACTGGTATTTTCCACTCGCATGGAGCAATGTCAGGTCGGGTAGGGTAGGGGATTAGTGGTCTCATATTACTGACCTTCTGATGGAATGTCAGGTCACCCTTTCTTGGCTGGGGGATTAGTGGGTCTCATAACCTGAAGATGTCTTGAATAAACATGAAACCTAAAGTGTACATGGGTTATATTCAGGGAGAGGGTAGTGGAAGCAAGTGTGCCGACACGGGGCCAAGGGACAGCAGCGCACCCTCCACCTGCTCTACCCCCTGCCCGTGAGGTGGCACTAGTTCCACCTATCAGCTGGGAGGAGGCGAGCGCCTTGTAAACAATGGCATTTCTAACCACACCCTGCAAAATACAGTGTACTTAGCAAATGCTGCAGCTTCTGAGAATGGGGGGGGGGGGTTACTACTAAGAGCAGAGACGTTACCGAGAACAAATTCTAGCTTGAATGTCATGTACACTAATACTGACACGTTCCTTGATAAGAGAGAGGAGTTTGAAACACTACGGAAGGTACACCAACCCGATATTGTAGGAGTTGTAGAACTGTTGTACAAGAACAGGAGAATCGACCCATGGGCAGATAATCTTCAGTTCTAAGACGTTTTCTAGTCTGTGGTGGTGGTGGTGGTGGTGGTGGGGGATGGTAAGTAGATGCGTGTGAACCCACCATTTTCTGGAGGGAACTGAGACACTAGGCTTCTGGTAATGATGCACTATGCTGTGGAGGTGGCGACATAGGTACCCTCAGGGCTCATGAGCCCCGTACATCCCCCGCAAATTTCAAGTCTGAAGCTGGAAATATTCGATACTCATATGAGTACAACTGCCTCAAATGCAGTAAAGACATCCTCATACAAAGAGAACCGCTGGTTCAGGGTTAAGCTGTATGTTATTCATTTGACAATAATTAAACATAACCAAAACAACCCAAGAATCATTAGGTTAGATTAGTTTACATTTGTCTTAACCCTTAGGCCCCGGGTGATGTTCCAGAACGTCCGCCTATTTTCCCTTCTTTTTTTTTTAAGTTGATTTTTTTCTCTATTTATCCCAGCAGTGGGGGGGGGGGTGTTCTGCTAGCAGCACCCTAACCCGGGGCTTAAGGGTTAACCACTTTGATAAAAAATAATAATAAATAAATAAAAGGCTAGCTGTCCTGTTGGTGGTATTTTATCAGTGTTGGTCATCTTACTCCCAATTGATATACTGTACTGTATGTTTGTCCAGGTTCGATACAAGCCCCATGACGTGCATCACGAAGATGAGTTCGACATCCTCCTGTCATCATCCTCCAATGATGATGAACTACTGGGCAAACATGAGAATCTCCAGGAAAGACATGTTGGACGGACTGTTACATAACATAGTAACAATATTGTAGAAAATATCACTGGAAGCACATTATTAGATCACATGAAATATGCAAGGGATTTATGGGGTCCAGCATTCAGAAACTTCTAAAGGTACAGTAGTTATTATTAAAAGTACTTTTGAAGGTTTACTAATAAACCTTCATATCTGTCATATTTATTGTGCAGCTGATGTACATTTGCCACTATTACTTGTCATGTGTCTTAATTATAATCCCTTTGGAACACTTTTATTGTTCCATTTTAATATATGCATTACACAAGTTTTCCTGCAGTGGTAGGGGACACCACACTTTGTGGGGACAATGCTCATTGACAGTCCAAGGATGCATTTTAAATCATGTGTCAGGCAGTATCAATAGCATCACACATTTTAGTGTGTCAAGTGTTGTTCACTTGTCATTTTGACTGCCAAAGCCCCTTGTGTCCAGAAGACAACACCTCAGTTAGTGGGTGATAGCATAAGTTAGGTCTATTTATGTTGTAAATCTATCATTGCATAGCACTTTCAGTTTCATTATTAGAGTTAAAAAATTTTCTCACAAAATTCTCTTATCTCCTCAACTGACTCCTGTATTACACACTAAAACCCATGCTATTACCCCATTTTTGGGTGTGGTATGCATGTACGTACAGTAGAATCCCAGTTATCCAGTATCCAGGCAAGCTGTAGATTCAACTAACCATCACTAAAATGAACAATAGAAATAAAAAATCCTCCAAAATCAGCTTGTAAAGTAAGTTTGAATACCGCTTGCAATGAGGAGAGCTGCCATATTGATTGCTATGATAAACAATAAATTAAATACATAGCATAAATAACGTACAGTAGCACATATTTTATGTACAAAAATAGCTCCTTCCACACTCGAACCATCCTCTGGACAACGCGACCCACTTCAGCTCAGCTGACTTACAGGCGTGTGGCTGCTGCTCTGTGCTATGTGTATGCCATGACATCACATCGGGAGGGAGCGTGGCCTCACATTTATAACCCTCCACCTCAACACACATCCTCACCCACACTTAATTTTTCTTGTTTTATAGTTGTATTTTATATTTTCTTTATTTCTAAGCCACATTAAAATATTGTAATAAATTTTCCACAACTTTTGTAGTTTCCTTGCAATTAACAATAAAACGGTAGCTGTGATGGTGAGTCAGTAAAGTAGTCATACCACATGTACACACTCAGTTCCCACAAATACACACCTATGCTCTTCATTTTTTCTTATTTAATAGTTTTATATTAGATTTTCGTTATTTATAAGCCTCACCATTTCCTCTAATATGTCATGGAAGCCACACATACACAACATTGCTGAAGCTGCCTCCCAAAAGCTGGGAATGCTGTAAAGATGCCGTAGCTACTTCACTCCTGAGCAGTTACTTCAAGTTTATAAAGGATTCATTCGTCCTAACTTGGAGTACGGCTCTCATATCTGTGGTGGCTCTTCTTCTGTCCAACTGTTAGATAGGGTGGAATCAAAGGCATTTCGTCTTATTAACTCTCCTCGTTTAGTTGATAATCTCTCTTCACTTTCTCTTATCCGCAATGTTGCTTCCCTCACTCTCTCTCTCTCTCACTCTCTCTCTCTCTCTCTCTTTAACAGGTACTTTAACGGGCAATGTTAGGTGAATTTGGCATCCTGTGTACCGCCGGCAAGACCGTGGGCTCATAACACTCGTCTTGCCCGCAGTGCCCACCGTTTCTCTGTGGATGTCGGTCACACTAGAATAACCCATTATAGTACATCCTTCTTTCCTCACGCAGCCAAACTGTGGAATGCTTTGCCTTCCTGTGTTTCCATACTCTTACAATCTGTCTTGCTTCAAAAAGCTGGTTTTCTGGCATCTTCGTGGTGTAGATTAATATAATCTTTTTCTCTTCTATTTTTAATTTCTTTTTACTCTTATTTTTTCGCCCCTCCTAGGCTCTGTTGCGGGTCGATGACCAGTCCCCGAGTGAGCTATTCCCTGTGAAAAAAAAAAGAGTACAGGTGCTCCTCTACTTTCAAACGAGTTATGTTCCTAAGGCTTATTAGTAAATCCAACTGTACTCCTATAGATACCAAACATATAGTAAAAAATGAAAAGATAATGGATATTTAGTACAGCTCTACCCTACAATACAGCCTTAAAACCTGGCTCACTCTTCTCCTCTAAGGTAATGTTTGTTCTATCTGGAATGTTCTTCAAAATAATCCAGTCTCATCCACATTAAACACTTGCTCTGGAAGGTAACTCCCCTCAATGATGATGATGATTATATCTCTGAAAGTTTGTAAGTCAAATGTTCTTAAGTAGAGGAGCACCTGTATTGCAATGATTTTTCCATACAACTTTTGTAGTTTCAATACATGTAACAGTAAATGCAACAGCTAGGCTGGCGAGTCAGCATAGTTCAATTCCCACACATACACGCCCATGCTCTTAATTTTTCTTGTTTTATAGTATTATATTATATTTTCTTTATTTCCGAGTCACGTTGTTTATATCGAGTTGAGTAAGATAAAACTTCCTTTTTTTCTTAGATTAATTTGTGAGGTTTGTCTGTAGCAGTGTGTATTGGGGGATCCTAAGAGGGATTTTCAACTTGCCAGAAAAACTGTTTATCCGGCAACTCTCAATCTCCAAATGTGCTGGATAGCTGGGATTCTATTGTATCATGTTTAACTTATCTTTATAAAAGAAGTTGCTGCATATTTATGTGCCCTATTTTATTATAAATAACGGAAGATATGTTTATTTTGTTCATGATTTCACATCAAGTGTTACTATAGTGGAGGTGCTATATTTACATATTTTGGATTGGTCAGGCCTTCTTAATGCAGGAATTAATATTTAAAATACTATTGATCTATACCATGTTAAGAAGAATTATTTCATGTGCAGTGTAGAGTAAGTTCATTGTACTATGCTTCTCAGGGTGTGGTTTACAGTAAAATAGTGGCATTTTACATGAATATCTAATATGATTTATTCAAGTTTGGCATTGTAGTACAGTAGATGAAAATTGAGTGAGTATATGATATAAGGAATACAGTAAAAGGTCAGTCATTTGAGCGTTAGGTTTTCCAGAGTATGGAATTAGTTTTTTTATATTAATATATTTCATGAATTCTCCTGAAGAAATAACTTCCATGTTCAGTATTATAACATCAACAGTGTTCTTGTAAAGTACACCTCATACTTCGGGAACCATTTTCTACGGAGTAATGCAAAATATTGTAGTTTTTGTCTTATGAGAATGTATGTATGTATGTGTGGAGAGTATTGGTCATGGTGGTAGTATTTAGGCAGTAAGTCCAGATGAAATTTCAGAAGTCTTAGACCAGCTGAGATTTTCCATATTCAGTACATGGTAAGAAATTCAGACAGCAAATATCAATGGGGATTATATTTGTATACTTCTTTATTAAGTTTGTTGTATTTTTTGTCTCAGGAGGTACCGTATATACTTTAATGCAGTTGGTTGGCATTTCTAATTTTATAAAGTCATAAACATAAGTTCCTATTGAAACTTGATTTAGGGAATTCACTGGATAATTGTGACCCTGAAAAGGTGAACTTAACCCCTTGCAAGACAGGAGTTACTCTGTATTGTGGTCATATTTTTTTTATCACATCTAAAAACTAAAACAAACAAATGTAAGGATGCATTATGGAAATAGGTACCCATTCTGGTAAAACCACAAAGCACCTACAGTATAGTGTATAAACAAATAGATATATACCGGTAATCTGAAACCTAGACCTACATCCCAGAAAAAATACCTTTGAATTCAAGAGAATTGCTTAAAATTACATATCCTTAAGGACCAGGTGTTTGACATCAGCAGTGACCATGGACAGGTTTAACATTTTCTCTGAGATTTGTGATGCTACAATGTAAACCATGGTGGTAGCAAGCAACCTTATAATACAGGGTATTTAGTTTTGCGGGGTTAAGGTACAATGATTTTTTGTAAAAACATGTTTTTCATGTGTTTTTGTATGATTTTTCTGTTATGTGAGACTCGTGGAAGTGTACTGTATACACATCAGGTGTGTGTGAAAGAAGGATTTTGTGATACTACTATATTGCCTCGATAAAAATGAGACATGATTAATTAGGATATGGACAGAGTATATATCTTTGTGATCTATTGTAAGTGTGTTGAATTAAAACACAAGGTGGCTGCATTATTGTTGCATATTTCCAGAATTGGAAATATACAGAGATAATTTTTAACTTCAATAATATAAGATTTTGTATGAAGAACCTTGCATAAGAAGGTAGATGCTTACTGTGTTCACATTTGGGAATAAGAATGTATAATTAACCAAAAAGAAACCTAGGTTTAAGATTATCCATTGCTTAAAAATTAATCTTCCTAACTATCGATCAAATAATGTGATATAGGGATGGTTTAGGCCTCAAGTAGAGTGCCTTCGTCATTGGTGTTCAGACTGTGTCTCAGTCTTGTAGTCAAACTACAACTACAGTACTCTTTATAGGTCTTTTTTAAATTTGCCATACACGACTTCCTTGAGTAGTGATACAAGAGATTCTTACAGATGGTAATAACGGCATCTGTTGAGTAAGGGTCATAAGTTAGGAGCGTCCAAGTAATTTAGATTTTAGAAGTTGGGAACTTGTATTCTTTTAATGTGAGTACATTTTACTGTCAAGAAAATTGCACAGTGCAGTAGTTCAGTGCTTGCTGACAAAATATCTCCTGGAAAACTGTCCAGTAAATAATTCTTTTCTTTTGTGTGTTATGTGCGCTGTTTCTACCCTTGTTGTGCTGTGATTACTCCATTCTATATACTACTTAATAGATACTGTACCTGTATTCATCTCTATACCCTCTATCTATGAGATAACCAGAATTTTGTGGTCAGATTTTTGTGGGATCTTTTTATTAAGTTTTATATCTATTTTTATTCCTCTGTATCTTACTACAGTACAGTACTATCATTTCTACTAGTATTGGAAACAATGCTATTTGCTAATGTTGTTTTCTGAACTGTTACCAGTAAATGTTTTTATTATGTTGTATAAGGGTAATACTATAATTTTTTACTCTTAGTTATTGGGACTGGATACTTTTCCCACCAGCATTGTGCAATACAGTAGTAGCCTAATACTGCAATTCATTTTTAGCTGAACTGCAGATGTTGTAACCCTATCCTGGCATCATACTCATTGTGTTTGTATTGGCATTAACAAATGGAAGGCAACATTTTAGTGCAAGCTTCATTACCCTCACACAACAATTGTTATAATAATATTGGCCAACTATTTATCCTGATTTATGGTCTTTATTTTGAGAAGTCATTTAGATTCCTCTTGTATCGTGTTTCTTCTGAATAATTTGGCTGGAAGCAGAAATGTATTGTATACCTGTATTCTGTATATCTATGTATACCATGTATTGTGCATTAAGTTAGTGTAATAATTTGTTTTTATCATTCGAGTTATGTTCTGCATCTGTATTACAGTACAGTATACTGTACTCTCGATTTAACAGAATACAATATAACAAACTCGATTTAGCAGAAGGAATTTTTTCCATTATTTTTCGCTTGATTTAGTAAAATAGTTCGCTAAATCGAGATCAATTCCGTTAATACGCTCACACCTACGGAGACACCTCAAACACATGATATGTACTTAGAGTCCTTAGAAACTTTATTCATGGCTTACCTTAAACTAGGGGGTTCAGTGTTTGTTTTCTATATTTTTCTATTTTAAATTTTTTCTATTATTTCCAATTTTTTTTCCAATTGATAGCTGCACTCTTTTGACTTTCTCCCCCACACCACTTCCTTTCTAAGACTTCTGAGAGACTTTTGGCATGATGTCTAAGCACAGTAGTTAGTTGACCAAGAGGTAGCAGTAAACAACATACATGTTGGTGGCAGGACACAGACTGAGTTGATGTAAACAAACCCTGTGTGCCAAGTGGCGCATTTGGAGCGATAATGGAATTACTCTCGATTTAGTAAACTAGTTTGCTAAATCGAGTGAAAATAACGGAAATTCGATTTAACGGAAAGGGGTGGCTTGAATTAGTTAGTTAAATCAAGAAAATACTGTAACTATTTTTTAAGTGTGTGTGTGTGTGTACATGTGGACAGTTGCAGTCATCTGTAGTTTGTATTCTTAATGAATCTCTTGAGTAGTAAACTGTTGGCTACAATATGTTATAAACTGACGGCTTTATACACATATAATAGAACTGGGTAACCAATGGGTCCAAGTACTATCAATGCAAATTATATTCTACAAAAAAGTATAGTGAAATTCTAGCTTTTTAAAATGCAGAAACTTATTTTTAGTACTTTAATTTTTGCACTCATGGATTGTATATTGTTAATTAGTTCAAGAAGTT